ATTTATTGATCTTTTGTCTTCTTTATTTTGTTCACTTTATCGGTTTATCTCTTTGTTCGACGATTTGATCTTTTGTTTTCGGATGACTTCGAGAAAGACGATTTCGATCTTTGTTCTTTTATTTATTCCTTGAAACTTTGACGATACACGGTTTGATTTTGTCTTTCGACGATTAATTTCGATCTTTGTCTTCGACACTTTTCTGGCTTTGTCTCGATTTATCCTTTTGTCTTCGGACGTAATTTTATTTGATCCTTTTGTTTTCCCTCACCTACCAGGATATCCCCTCAGTCTGTCCTCAGTCCTCCAACCAGTCACCTACCGATATCCCCTCAGTCTCCCCCACCAGTCACCTACCGATATCCCCTCAGTCTCCCCACCAGTCACCTACCGATATTCACCCCTCAGTCTCCCCACCAGTCACCTACCGATATCCCCCTCAGTCTCCCCACCCCCAGTCACCTACCGATCTCCCCTCAGTCTCCCACCAGTCACCTACCGATCAGTCTCCTCAGTCTCCCCACCAGTCACCTACCGATCTCCCCTCAGTCTCCCCCACCAGTCACCTACCGATCTCCTCAGTCTACCCTACCAGTCTCCCCACCAGTCACCTACCGATCTCCCTCAGTCTCCCCACCAGTCACCTACCGATCTCCCTCAGTCTCCTCCTACCAGTCTCCCACCAGTCACCTACCGATATCCCCTCAGTCTCCCAACCAGTCACCTACCGATATCCCCCAGTCTCCCCACCAGTCACCTACCGATATCCCCTCAGTCTCCCCACCAGTCACCTACCGATATCCCCCACAGTCTCCCCACCAGTCACCTACCGATATCCCCTCAGTCTCTCCACCAGTCACCTACCGATCTCCCCTCAGTTTCCCCACCAGTCACCTACCGATATCCCCTCAGTCTCCCCACCAGTCACCTACCGATCTCCCCTCAGTTTCCTACCAGTCTCCCCACAGTCACCTACCGATCTCCCCTCAGTCTCCTCACCATTCACCTCCCGCTACCCCTAGTGTCCCCACCAGTCACCTACCGATCTCCCCTCAGTCTCTCCACCAGTCACCTACCGATCTCCCCTCAGTCTCCCCACCAGTCACCTACCGATCTCCCCTCAGTTTCCTACCAGTCTCCCCACAGTCACCTACCGATATCCCCCTCAGTCTCCCCACCAGTCACCTACCGATCTCCCCTCAGTCTCTCCACCAGTCACCTACCGATCTCCCCTCAGTCTCCCCACCAGTCACCTACCGATCTCCCCTCAGTTTCCTACCAGTCTCCCCACCAGTCACCTACCGATATCCCCCTCAGTCTCCCCACCAGTCACCTACCGATATCCCCTCAGTCTCCCCACCAGTCACCTACCGATATCCCCCTCAGTCTCCCCACCAGTCACCTACCGATATCCCCTCAGTCTCCCCACCAGTCACCTACCGATATCCCCCTCAGTCTCCCCACCAGTCACCTACCGATATCCCCTCAGTCTCCCCACCAGTCACCTACCGATCTCCCCTCAGTCTCCCCACCAGTCACCTACCGATATCCCCTCAGTCTCCCCACCAGTCACCTACCAATCTCCCCTCAGTCTCCTACCAGTCTCCCCACCAGTCACCTACCGATCTCCCCTCAGTCTCCCCACCAGTCTCCCTACCAGTCTCCCCTCAGTCTCCCCTACCAGTCTCCCGACCAGTCACCTACCGATCTCCCCTCAGTCTCCTACCAGTCTCCACACCAGTCTCCACGTGTCTTCAAGTCCGTCTCCACTCTAGTGTCCATCTGTTGTGTGTTTTGCACGTACAGCGTGTCTCATCTCTCATCGGAACCAGCTCATCAAACACTCTGATCTGACAAGGAAGTAAAAATAATCCACATGAAAGAAGGCTATCTCCTGGGTAATTACCGGGGCATACACACTACCTTGCATGACCATCAGGCTGCTACACCCAGGCCGTGTAGACCATGTGTTGACAAACTATATATAAAGAATAAACGATAGGTAGTTTCAAGCGGAGGGAGTTCATGGCTAGACACCGTCTTCCTCTGCAAGAAAGAAAAATGTATATACATAAGAATTTAGAGTAAGGCAACGAGGCCTTACAATTGCTGGAAATAAGCCAACAAACTGTTTCACGGAAATAAATGATGCAAATTGTTTCGTACACTTATGTGTTTTACCGATGTCATATCTTTCCTCTTCTGTTCTCATACCATTTACCTCTGATTATGGATTAAGTTACTGAAGAGTGAATTCGAAAAGAATTACAAAAAAACTCTGGAATTGCTAAGCATGTGTTTTCATTATGCCGGAACTTCGTCCCGCCTGCCTCATGCTTTTTTTCCAGGATAACAACGATAGCTTAAAATACATAGTTAGACATGCATAGTTTGTGCGCCAATATGAACCTCACCGAGGTGAAATAAACTTGTTAAGTAGACAGGAAATACGTATATATACCTCCTTTATTCCTGGTGTAACAGGATATATATGTATATCCTTTATTCTCGTTACCACATATCCTTGATTGCTGTTTCACACAGCAGTACTCCAGCTATCTGGTCGTGGCTTGATCAAGCTAGCTATTCTCGAAACGTTCGTAGCCCTACGAACTTCTTAAGCCCATTCTTAACACATTGGCTACGATCAAAGTTAACAATTCTTAAGGCCACGGATGTTTCGAGAATAAGGGCCCAGGTCCTCCAGTGACGTCTAATGATATATAATTTACCTCTGATGTTATATTCTTCACCCCTTGGTGTTATATCTATATATTACCTACTTTACTTCCAGTACATCCCTTACCTGTGGTGATATATCCTTTTACCTCAGGTGTTATATTCCGGTTTTACCATGGCGTATGCTACCCCGCCGGAGTCATACCAATGGTATATATGGAGTTATACCCAGATGTTACATCCTTTATATCACAAAGTTGGTGTCGTACTCTTGTGTTTGTTATTTCACGCCGTACTCAACAATATTTCGACTATCTCTAAGCTCCCAGACTGGGTCTAGACAGATCATGGGGATTATGAGCAACCAAGATAGATTGTGAGGTCACTGACCCTGGCCGCCCGATCCACATAATTGCCCCTAGCATATAGGTAGTGATGGTGAAGGTGATCATGATTCTGTGGCATGTTGTGTCGTTGGTGACAGATGATTGTTCTGGACACAACGCACCAAGTTACGCTATAGCCTTGAACTCGTGTTTTGAACTCAACGTCTGTCATATTGTAGACGCTTGAGAAACATGCGTCAATCACTTTCAAACCAAGTCTTTAATATAAGCAGTTGTTCTATCTCGCTCAGTGCATTATTTCAATAACAAAGTACCGTAAGGTCTTTGGGATAATGTGTTGTCGATTTCAGACAAATGTGTGCGTTATCAGTGTCCCTGTGATCACGCGATAAGCTACGGGATCAAAAGAGAATTTACTAGAGGTATTCTCTGTTTTGAACTGACCGGCTTATCGGCCTTGCTGGAAACACATTAGCGCCTCTTGAAGTTCCTAATGTAGGGTCGCACAAAGACGGGGCTGTACTTCTTGACCCCGTCTGGGCCTAATGTGGGGTCCAACCGCTTGTAAACAATTTTGTATGTCTTGAAAACAAATGTCGGCAGGGCTGATCTGATAACCGTGTCTGAAGGCAAAAAAGCGTTATTGGCTAACATACGCAATTCGACTTATTTATCATGTGAAACAAATCTCCATGCTCTTTGGTTCTGATTGAAAGAGTATGTGCGGTATGCGGGGTTTGGGAGATCGAGTATAGGTGTGCTGATGTACTTAATGCCATAACGTCATTGATACGGTAACATCGGTAAGAGGCGCAACAGTGCCCCACAGACAGAACCGTTTCCCCAGGTTTAAATACAAGAATTTATAGGTGGGAAAAGCATTTTTTTATCAGTGCGTTTATCGCCACTTTGAACAGTGTTAAAGTTATGTGTTGTGTTCCAGACTTGTGTATCCATTTCCTGCATGACCTTCCCATGCACTAAACCATTTAGTTCGCGACCTTTCGAACTACCTGTCCATTTCTTTCACTATCTTCCCACGAACATTTCCATTTAATGCACGATTTTCCCAAGCACTTGTCCATTTATTGCAGGACCTTCCCAAGCACTTGTCCATTTATTGCAGGACCTTCCCAAGCACTTGTCCATTTATTGCATGCTCTTCCCAAGCATTTGTCCATATATTGCACGATCTTCCCAAGCACTTGTCCATTTTATTGCACGATCTTCCCAAGCACTTGTCCATTTTATTGCACGATCTTCCCAAGCACTTGTCCATTTTATTGCACGATCTTCCCAAGCACTTGTCCATGTCTTCGAAGACCCTTTCTGGGTTGTTGCCCATGTCTTTCATTGCCCTTCCAGAGTACTTTCCCAGTTCTTTCATGACCCTTCCTGGCCTTTCACACTTTCCTGTAGTCCTGCTCCATCGATGTGAAAGCGCTATGATATACTCAAAGACAAAACTTACTATGCTCGTGTTAATGTAAATAACATAACAAGACCTATGGTGATATGAAATGTATACTTTTAGTGTAGTTGTGTAACACAATCATCTTCAGTGGATGATGGAAATGCCCAGACTAACTTGTGGATTCCTCAAATTACCTGGATATGTAGACAACAGTATACAATGTAAAACAAACACTAAATTTCATCTCATTGTGACAATGACTGAGTAATGACCATAAATAGCTTGTTTTTCAATGTGGCTGACAAAACCCAACCCCCCAACCCCAGATTCGAACCTCTTGAACATATCATGGGCTCATTATTGTTGGGAGCAGGTATGTGAAACTTTAGAGTGGTGTCTGAGAAGACGTTTACGGACAATCAGGCCACGGCATAAACACTTCTGACTTTAAGTCACATGGGCAGATTTTGAATTTCAAATTTTACATCATTACGTCAGTCCACTCCATCTGAACTTGTCCAGGCCTCTTCTTCGTCTGACTCTACCCTATATTATTGCAGGCCCAGGCGGTCCAGCCACAGGAAAAAGAAACTGTACATATGCTGAATGATGCAGACATTGTCGAAGAAAAGGGTTTGAATGAAGTTCATAACAACAAGGTCAAACATACGAACAAAAGACGTCCAAATAAAATACGGAATCGGAATTACATTAAAGGCCCAAACAGGAGAAGGTCCAGGAAGGTTGCCACCAGAAGACCAGCCAGCAATACTGAAACAGTGTTGTCAAACAATAAGGACAATTTTATTTCCAAAAATAAGAAAAGAAATATTTTTGGACTTCGCAAAAGGAAAACAAAAACAATTAACGGAAAAGAAACTGAGGTTGAGACTATATCAATAAATGAAAGTGGTGGAGATGTTCTTAGCGAAGGGAACAAGTTTCGACTTGGATTCAGTTACAATGGGAACAGAGAACCATCCAAAAGGGGTAAGTACGTACGTACTTAATCAGATCCACGTATCAGAGAGGTACACGAAGAACGTGATTTCGACTGAAGTTGCCAGGACCGCCTCCGTGGTGTAGTGGTTAAAGCGTCTGCCCGGAGAGTGGAAGGTCGCGGGTTCGATCCCCGATCGCGTCATACCGAAAGACGTTAAAATATGGTACTTGTTGGTCCCTGCCTGGCGCTCGGCATTAATGGGTACAACAAGGACTGGTTGGCTCGGAGTCAGTATAATGTGTCTGAGTGGGGTATTCATGCTTCACTGCGGCATGGTATCTCAGTGAGCTAGCACTATAAAACCAGCTTAAGTCTGGGCTAGTACAAGCAGTCGCACATACACGTACACCCGCATGCACGTCGTCATATGAGCGAAATATTCTCAAGCACGTTAAACCAAATTTCACCTCACCTCACCTGAAGTTGTCAGACTTTCATTAATGTGGAGGCCGTGGTGGCGGGGTGTGTTTGATTGCAGACTATGGGTGCTGCCGATTACGTGCAACTATCTGAGGCTTATTTAAAAATATTCATCTCCTAAAGATATAACAAAATGCAAATCACTCACTCCTGATTATATGTTCCAGGCAGCCGTTCGCCCTGGAGCAAGTGGAACTCCTGCAGCACGGACTGTGGGTTGGGGCAGCAGGAAAGGGTGCGCAGCTGTGGTGACAACTGTCAGGAGATCGAATCCAAGCCCTGTCTCACACAGCCATGTGAGGGTACGAAATCTTTCTAGTATACTCCCGGGGGATGAATGTTTCTGTGTATCCCATTAAGTCCAATGGATGAACGAACAGAACAGGAGATGCTCGTAAATGTATTAATTACGACTGTTGGGTTCATTCAATGTCTGGTATGTGACTCTTGATAATTGGAGGTTGAAGAGAACATAGGTCGGCTATTTTCTTTAACCTGTATTGGTCCAACCAGATCTGTTGACTGGTTTTTGGTAATACAAGGCTGGATCATTATGGAAAGGTAGCGTATCTCTGATTTGTCATTAAATTAAACTTTCGGAAGCACGATTCTGCTATAGTTCATCTTTCATATTTCTTTCACAAATACCTCTGAAAGTGGGTTATTTTACCTATACATAATATTTTCTGATTCATGTTTATAAAATACTAATATTATTATAAAATTGTATTAAAAAATCAAACAGAATCTTAAACAAGCAAGGCGGTTACACTACCAAATTCAGTTTGGAAGAGTTTTATGAGGACTATCAACAACGGTCCTCTACTTCCCTAAAGCATGCCGTCCCTCGGAGACATATTCCGCCACATATGTTATTAATAACGATGTTTATCTCCAGGCTCAGAGATGACAGACAAGTGGGCCTACTTCGAGATGTTTGACCTTACGGAGACGGAGGTCACGTCAGGTAAGAAGGGCGACCCATCACTCTTGTGACAACAGAACTGACGGGACATTATGATTTGTAACACGGAAAGGGGGAGAAAGAGGGTCCCAGTGCTATCTCAAGGAATGAAACACAACATAAGCTAAAGAACATATGATTATTTCATATGACTCTCAGTTAATATGTCATAGCATGAAATATAGGCTATATGCATGTACAAATTTCAGGTTTTCCTGACCACAGGTTTTGTTTATGTTTTGTTTGTTTGTTGTTTACCGCTGGACTCATATCAGCAATTCTCAGTCTGTAAATAATCTAGTCTGGACCAGACTATCCTTGAGTATCGATCTACGCAATACGGATACGATGACATGTGTCAACCAAGTCAGCGAGACTGACCACCCGCTTACGACAAGCATGGGTTGCTGAAGACCAATTCTAACCCGGAATTTCCACGGGTATTGACCTTAAATGAGGAATCTATAGTGGGCGACTACGGTCTGTCATTTACAAGAGCACTGGTCAATAACTGAACACGTTGGTGGGCCAGTAGACCAGTATATTGCGATTTGTTCCTCAGAGTTATATCTCTTTTGCCATGAATGATTTCGCATTTTCGATTAGCATCACGGTTGATAGAAAAGCCTAGCGATTAACTGTGATGAGAGACAGAGCTGCTCAAAGGACTGAAATGTTGGTGCGTTGGTTAAACTGTGACACCCAGACTCGATTATGTATTAATTACCTGAAATAATGATATATTCGGAATATTACTTCCTGTGGTGTAAAAGGACTTTTGACCCCCTCCATGGCCGACCACCTGTATATTTTTGGTTTCATTTATTCAGAGTCCGGCGATGCCTGCGAACGCTGGATGAAATGTAGCAACAAGTCAATCCAGCATTACCTGGCCAACATCGCCAAGCTGCCAAGCTGCCCCTGTTTCTACCCACTCAGCATCGCCATAGACAACAACATCTTCGACAGCGACCAGCAAAAAAACTTCGCCTGGAAGGACGCAAGCGGGCCTGTTGAGAGGAATGAGGTGTACAGACCCGGGGCCAAGTTCTGTATTCGATCAACACTTCCGGCGCATTCCGTCACCCTGGCTGCACAACACTGTTGCTATGACGGCCAGCTAAGACTGATAACTCGTGGCAGAGATGCGGGGACACCAAATCTCGTCAGTCCTCAGCTATCGCGTGAACTGCATAAAAAAGTTGATCTCCTTCCTTGGATCCTCTGCAAAGGCGATTGGACAAGGTAAGTCTTTTAATAAGAATAAAATGCCAATCAAACAGATCGTAAGGTCGTTTAGTACAAATACAAAATGTACAGATTTTCCATCTTAACATCTCATAAATGGGATACAGAATCGCAACAACTGTGGCTGTGTCCATAAATTCAATTCTAAACGAAAACGCACCCAGTTCATAATTCCTAATTCTCTAAGCACATATTAATATAGACTCACGTGCAAAAGAAACTTCCCCAAAATTTAAATTATATTATAGTTGCTGGATATGGCCAAAAACATTAAAAACAGTTCGGAACACATTGCCCAAACAGATAAATGTATGACACCCCAAGAAAATGCACGTGTTGCATGCCAGAAGCGGGAAAAATGCTTCTATTCAGTGAAATTCCCTGCGCGTGCAGGAAATCACCCGTATGGAGATCGGTTATAAAACACGTTGGAAACTGTTCTTTGCAATCACAATCATGTGAAAAACCAGCAGAACATGCCTCGATTAACAGCAGAAAAGAGAGAAAGACCGATTGGCATGCTGCAGCTGGGGGCAACGCACGACCATGTTGGAAGGATCCTGGGATGTGCTAAAAGAACGATTGGGACATTGGTCACACGTTACAGACAAGCTGGCCGGACAGCACACAGGTCGAGGAGCGGTAGACCGGAAGTCACTACCCACAAGAGGACCGTTATATACAGACGCTTCATTTAGCAACAGATTCCTCGCCGTGACGTCATCATCAGTGCTTAGCCTCGGTCATCGCGTCAGCAGGTGGATGAGACGACAACGTCAACATGGAAATCGGAGCCTATAGACCATTGAGGGGCATGACGTTACCGCCGGAATCTCGACGTCGAAGATTGGTTTTGGCCAGGAATGTTCGTCAGTGGCAGCAACGGAACCGGCAACGGGTCCTTTTCAGCATCGAGAGTAGGTTCCATTTGAACAGAACTGACGACCGAAGGCGTGGGGAACGGACGGCACGTTGTTGCGTTCAGGAAACGGAACCATATGGTAGAGAGAGTGTGACGGTTTGGGGTGGCATGTGGGAACACCAAGACCGACCTTGTTATCATCAATGGCAGCCTGGCAGCCCGTCGGTATATTGATGAAGTTCTGCGGCCCCATATGCTGCCTTTCCTCCAGCAATATCCAGGAACCTTGTTTGAAGCAGGCAATGGAACACCTCACACCGCTTTTGTCACAACGGCCTTTCTCAACGTCAACAACGTGCCCGTACAGCCCAGAAGAACCCCTGACATGTCTCCGACAGAGCACTTGTGGGGCCATCTTGGACGTCGGATTCTACAGCTTCTACACCCTCCATTGCCGAGAAATGCACTGGCTCAGGCATTACAGACAGAATTGCGTCGGATCCCCAGTCACGTGATCAGGAGGCTTACACACTCGGCCCGTCGACGTGTTCTGACGTGCACCGATGCAAGGGGTGGACATGCACGGTATTGACGATCTGCCTTCCCAATTCAACCTCTGTTTTGTCATTTGTGGTTTTGGCTTGCGCTCGAATACTGGACAATCGACCCCCATGTGATAACATTCCCTGTACCACTGTTAGGTTTACCACGTTCTCTTTCTTTATGTCAGACATGCTTTACATACACCTTCGTTATGCATTTTAACCGTTCATATCTATTCGTGTTTGTGCTTGTGTTGTTTGGTAGTTGAAAAATTCTTGGGGACGTTTCTTTTGCACGCGAGTGTATTTTATTAATAGTCGTCTAAGTGTTGCATCTGAGGGTTTACATAACAATTTATGTACTTTTTAATATTCATATCAAAATATTAATCCAACTGTATATCGTATTTCGTTATTTTGTCTATACTTATATATTCTTCACAGAAACAATTTTCGTAAAGTAGGTGTATAACTATTGTTGCTGGGATCCAATGATGACATGGAGATACTCCTTTACTTTCAACCCTGTTAGTTGGGACTTCCTGACTTCCGACCGTTGCCTTTGACAAATGTCTGTATGTAATCCAAGAGACAACTAAAGAAAACGAACTATACACACCCTGGATTCGTTTACCTGGAGATTTGTACATCCTGACAATATCTACGTTTGATGTATAATTTATGTTCCAGGTACAACAGGGTGGTGCAGCCCAACAACCACCGCCAGTGCATGGCCAATCCGTGTGTGGGGGAGACACAGAGGCAGATCGACCTGGCTAGATCCTACTGAGTCACCATCTCTCATTGGTTCCATATTGAATATGCCATATGTTGACAAGTACTGAACCTAGCCCTGCATTGCCCGTGGTCGTAATCCAGACCTGTACACCAGGCTCTGCTGCCGCTGGAAGAGCGGAGTGGCGTTTTGGGGGGCAGTGACTTCGTCGTCGCTGTCAGGGACAGTCGTTGTCTGGTGGTTCGGACGTTTGTTTAATGACGTTCGTGGTTGACATGTGTATGTAGTGCATTACTAGACATTGGTTTGTGATGAGTTGTCTAGATGGACTACGTCATGACAAATTGGCTGGATATAAATAGTCACGAACAAATGATTTATGTAACAACACTGTTGCTATGACAAAGTGTCAGGATGTATGCCCTAAATTTGTATGGTAACCTGACTAGATTATCCATGACAAACAGGCTAGATGGCTACACGGAATCATTGAGGCGCCCAGGGTGGTCACACTGCTAACGTGTGAGGTTACAGCACCATTGTGGAGACGGACGCTAGGTCGCCGGTGCAATGTGTAAAGGAACATATCTGACTGAGATATCGCGAGTGGCATATACATGGATCGGTAAGGATGGTCGTGCTGCAGGGAAACTGTTTAACAAAGCAAGTGTGCTTAAAAGCTGCAGCTGCGTTTGATGATGAGCAGTCTCGTCACACCGTTTGTATATTTTCCAGGGGCGGTGGGGTAACCTAGTGGTTAACGTGTTGGCTCGTCACGCCGAAGACCCGGGTTCGAATCCCCACGTGGGTACAATGTGTGAAGCCCATTTCTGGTGTCCCCCGCCGTGATGTTGCTGGAATATTGCTAAAAGCGGCGTAAAACCAAACTCAGTCAGTCAGTGTATATTTTCCCATCCAGGTTTGTCTGCGACAGATGCATGACTGGCGGACAGACTCGGATGTTGGTACATTCTGAGAAGCCTCGATAATCTCTGATAATGACGGTGCATTCTAATGTGGCACTGTGGATTTGTCTGTGTACCTCAGATACCATACTTGTCTACCACAGCAGGGCATTGTGGTGGCAGCGTAGAAAACAAACTGTAAAGTCTGTGATTAAATTGTGACTACGTATCGCCTGTTTGTTATACCTATAAGAAATAATAATTCTAAAACTGAGTTGGGGTATTAACATTCTGCATGATTGTTTTATGACGTGTGCTGGTTAAAGATATGTTGTAAAGCTGTATGACCGCCACGTGACGTCTGGTGGTCAGGTGTTGAAATAGCGTAATTTATCTGTACGACTGTCACGTGATGTCTGTGAGTCGGATGTATCTGTATGAATGTCACGTGACGTCTGGTCGCAGACTGAAATGGTATGTATGTACAATTGTTACATGACATGTATAGGTAGGAGACTGCAATGGTATGTATGTACAATTGTTACATGACATGTATAGGTAGGAGACTGCAATGGTATGTATGTACAATTGTTACATGACATGTATAGGTAGGAGACTGCAATGGTATGTATGTACAATTGTCACGTGACATGTATAGGTAGGAGACTGCAATGGTATATATGTACAATTGTCACGTGACATGTATAGGTAGGAGACTGCAATGGTATATATGTACAATTGTCACGTGACATGTATAGGTAGGAGACTGCAATGGTATATATGTACAATTGTCACGTGACATGTATAGGTAGGAGACTGCAATGGTATGTATGTACAATTGTTACGTGACAGGTATAGGTAGGAGACTGCAATGGTATGTATGTACAATTGTCACGTGACATGTATAGGTAGGAGACTGCAATGGTATGTATGTACAATTGTCACGTGACATGTATAGGTAGGAGACTGCAATGGTATATATGTACAATTGTCACGTGACATGTATAGGTAGGAGACTGCAATGGTATGTATGTACAATTGTTACATGACATGTATAGGTAGGAGACTGCAATGGTATGTATGTACAATTGTTACATGACATGTATAGGTAGGAGACTGCAATGGTATGTATGTACAATTGTTACATGACATGTATAGGTAGGAGACTGCAATGGTATATATGTACAATTGTTACATGACATGTATAGGTAGGAGACTGCAATGGTATATATGTACAATTGTTACATGACATGTATATTGTCATGACATGTAGGTAGGAGACTGCAATGGTATATATGTACAATTGTTACATGACATGTATAGGTAGGAGACTGCAATGGTATGTATGTACAATTGTTACATGACATGTATAGGTAGGAGACTGCAATGGTATGTATGTACAATTGTTACATGACATGTATAGGTAGGAGACTGCAATGGTATGTACAATTGTGACATGTATAGGTAGGAGACTGCAATGGTATGTATGTACAATTGTTACATGACATGTATAGGTAGGAGACTGCAATGGTATGTATGTACAATTGTTACATGACATGTATAGGTAGGAGACTGCAATGGTATATATGTACAATTGTTACATGACATGTATAGGTAGGAGACTGCAATGGTATGTATGTACAATTGTTACATGACATGTATAGGTAGGAGACTGCAATGGTATGTATGTACAATTGTTACGTGACATGTATAGGTAGGAGACTGCAATGGTATATATGTACAATTGTTACATGACATGTATAGGTAGGAGACTGCAATGGTATATATGTATTATCGTGACACGTGAACTCCGTGCCTTTTGTGAAATTCGTCTTGTCCTGTTTAAATTGACGATCCATAAACTCAGATTGCGAAAGTAAATGTTGCATGTGCACCACGTGTTTTCTGTGAAAACCCCTTGTTGAGACAACATTCAAAACAAATACCTTGCATTTGATGGATTGACTAAAACTGTTCAGGCAATCAGTCTGACTAGAACTATATGTTTTAGTCATTTGACCAAATGACTGAAACTTTTAGTCTTTTGACCAAATGACAGATCGTTTTAGTAATTTGACCAAATGACTGATTTGACAGATTGACTGTAACATATATATATATATATATATATATCCTGTTTATATGGCTATATAAACCATATACCCACATAATACATTATCCATTGCATACTAACGTAATACATGTAAACTACTGTTATATGGTAAAAATGCATCCCTAAATCAGTAAGAGAATTACATCAGATTCCGTAAATTGAGTTGCAGTTTGGCTCATGAGTGATAACGGTTAGGCACTGTTTGGAGACAGAAAGTCTAAAGAGAATGGCGTTCAGCTGTAAGTTAGAAATATATCCGCCGTGAGAGACATATCACAATAACAGATCAATAAAAAGGGGAGAGTTACCAAACGGTACTTACCGATAATTCTCCAATCGTAATATTCATGAGTGCTAGGGCGGATCAAGCCAGGGAACCATATAACTTTGGAATGGGCTTTTAAGTGACGGTGGACTGGGACAGTAAAAACTATGTGAGCATTAAACTTGGTGTTGCATTTCTCTCTGAATGGATGTGTGCCAGTACATGAATGCAATGTGGTTAGTTAGGAGTCGTGGTCGCCCGACCCCTCACTCCTGGACTTAGCATCCTGCAACGGACCAAGCGAGTGAAGCGCCAGAGCTACAATCCCGACAATGGGGACGGCCACAAGTAGTAAGTAACTGTGGTAGGGTTTACTAACGCCCCAACGCCAGGTACGACACTACCAAGCTATACATATACCATACTGTAAAACGACTATTATGTATACCCACAGAATACATGTAATCTCGACCACATTTAGCAAAATATCATACATGTAATCTCTACCACATATAGCAATATCATACATGTAATCTCGACCACATATAGCAATATATCATACATGTAATCTCGACCACATATAGCAATATCATACATGTAATCTCGACCACATATAGCAATATCATACATGTAATCTCGACCACATATAGCAATATATCATACATGTAATCTCGACCACATATAGCAATATATCATACATGTAATCTCGACCACATATAGCATACATGTAATCTCGACCACATATCTCGACCATGTAATCTCGACTCACATATAGCATGTAATCTCGACCACATATAGCATATATCATACATGTCCTCGACCACATATAGCAATATCATACATGTAATCTCGACCACATATAGCAATATATCATACATGTAATCTCGACCACATATAGCAATATCATACATGTAATCTCGACCACATATAGCAATATATCATACATGTAATCTCGACCACATATAGCAATATATCATACATGTAATCTCGACCACATATAGCAATATATCATACATGTAATCTCGACCACATATAGCAATATATCATACATGTAATCTCGACCACATATAGCAATATCATACATGTAATCTCGACCACATATAGCAATATATCATACATGTAATCTCGACCACATATAGCAATATATCATACATGTAATCTCGACCACATATAGCAATATCATACATGTAATCTCGACCACATATAGCAATATCATACATGTAATCTCGACCACATATATAATATCATACATAATCTCGACCACATAGCAATATCATATCTCGACCACATATAGCAATATATCATACATGTAATCTCGACCACATATAGTAATATCATACATGTAATCTCGACCACATATAGCAATATATCATACATGTAATCTCGACCACATATAGTAATATCATACATGTAATCTCGACCACATATAGCAATATATCATACATGTAATCTCGACCACATATAGCAATATCATACATGTAATCTCGACCACATATAGCAATATCATACATGTAATCTCGACCACATATAGCAAAATATCATACATGTGAACGGGCAAAACACACAACGAGTTACCATTGTCTAATGACGTGATACATGTAAACTACCAAACATGACGTATATGTCATAATGTAAAAAAGGATCATTCGTTGTAGCCATGTGAAACATGACCATATGCGATTTCACAAATTATATGCGACCACTGAATATACACGCTCATGTTATACTTGAACCATGAACAACCATAGTTTAATTGTGTTCAGGTATTTAACTACCTTTATCAATGGTTTGATTCTTTAAATATTGAGTGTAGGGACATACACATGGCGATTTCCGAAAACTACGAGACAGACTCTAGGAATAATAATATCTTCAAAAAAAGATTCCAACTGTAGTTTAACTGATGGATCCATTTTATAACCAGGATAGTGAGCGGTTATAATATATTCCAGAGCACGGGGTGCTGGGTCAGAACCTCGTATTGCCTGATGAACAACACGCCCCGTGGTAAGGCCCTATAGTCTGTTTGCAGTGAAAACGTACCGACGAATTTCACTTTAAACAAGAAAGTCAATCGAATAAAGTGACATTAAGATTGCGAATCCTCATATTTTTACCTTGCCAACTGAACTTTTAAATATCAGAATTTTATTAAACTTAGGATAAAAGTTGTTTAACAAACGATCATAGTTTCAAATCGTGATTATTGGTTTGTATTACAAGGGTGTATGCACATTAAATGAAACACCGAGAACAAGTAGGGCTGGTCTAAGTTAACGCTCATCACGTACCGCACGTGCATTTGTTTCAGTGTTCCAACTACTGCGCTTAATTTTACTTTATTTGATTTACTTTCTTGTTTAAAGTGAAATTCATCGGTACGTTTTCACTGCAAACAGACTATAGGGTCAAGATATACAGCGCCCTCAAGTCAATCAAGCGTACCTATTATGTGAGTTGATTTCCAACACACGACAAACGTGTTAGGATTCGAACAACGGGCCTTCTGATTCAAAGTCGGACGCCTTGTCCACATGACCAAAGAGGTTATCCTCATCAGCAAGCTGACAAGGTAAGGATATCATCTTTGGGATGACACCGAGTCCCTGCTGCAATAATATCTTCAAAGAAGATTCAACTGTAGTTTATTCCCGGAGTCTCTGCTTATAGCTTGCGGCCATCGGAGGATCAAACGCCATACACAGTTGAGGAGTCCAGTTGGAGTATATTGTTCACACTCGCGCACAGATCAAACACCAAGTCAAACGGGATAAAGCACAATAATGGACTTCTCCGCAATGGCAAGCTTGCATGCCTCTTGTCAGTCGGGGCAATTGGAGACAATTGTATGCCGTGCTGAAATCTGGGGATATACGAAAATTTTGATAGCATATAGAATGACGTCACCTGAAAACTAGAGTGTTCTATGTCCGCTTGTGGTGAAGCTCAGGGTATGTTTTACAGTATAGTCTGTCTCCATGCAAAATGTCACCGTGATATATAGCATTACAATTGCTTTTACATTGTTTTATCTTCATAAACTAACACAAATTGTTAGTTCCAGAGAATTCTAAGTGGTTATTGGACCAATCAGCAAGTCAAGTTGGATCACGTGACATGGAGATGGAATAATCTGACAGTTATTATCATCATTATTGACATACAAATGGAACATTGCCCTTATTTATGATTTTTATAATGTAATTCGTAAGCTATGGACCTAAAACAAGTTAAAACAACAAAAATACAACCTGGTACGGGAGAAATAATCATACAATAATCGTGCAATAATGATTCAGCTGCATTTCTAATACAGGGAACTCTGGTTCTGAACAAAATTACAAATCTATTTGGCCGAGTGTTCAATCTCCAAGCGGTTTTCGTTAATTTCTTATATATTTCAAGAGCTTTAACATACTTTTGGTTATTTTACAAAAAACACATGTATGTGCACAATTCCAAAGAATTTAATTGAATGCTTTTGAAAATACTGTTGTTCTAAACTTCAAGATCGATTTTCTCGAAAATAGGTTTTAAGGACCTAGAACACTCTGGTTTTCAGGCGACGCTGAATTCATGTGTATGTATATTATAGTTAAACATCAACCACACTATACCATCTCCACACCAACTGTTCCATTTACATAGTGGGTACGCTCCTCACAATGTGAGGTATTCCGTGTCTCAAAAACAGTAGTCCAGGTAATTCATATATTCTATGCCTTACATTTACCAGTTTAGTGGCAAACTTGATACTCAGACGTCGTTGCAATGGAAGAGGTGAACTAGAGTTTAGTGTGGGTCCGAGTGCGGACAGTGCATGTGCACCCTTGAAACACTCAATCGGATCATACCCCTACAAACTCGGCTACCCAAACAATTTTCATTGTATGTCTTTGCCTTTTTCTGTCCAAAATGGAACGTAAAAATCTTATCTTGATTCAATTTAAAACCGCTGAGGAAATACTTTTCGAATACGGACAATGCATTTACACCCGAACAAATTTATTGTTTGAAATTAACTGATTTATTTTTATGATAATCATTTATGTTTTAATGTTATTATTTTCGGAGGGAGACACTTATACAAGGCAATGTTTTTTTGTTTTTCCTGTATAACATTATATAGCATTCCTTGAACTGACCAGTGCTCATAAACATTCTCTGGGCGTGCTGGACGATTTGCCACAACAGTGCCGATCATTGGCGTAAATAGCCGGATTTCACCGATCTCAGTTGAAAAGTATGTCGTAAAAGTAATAGGATAGTAATAGTAATAGTGTAACGTTCAGTGTTTAGAGACTTTTAGGTGTGTTCTGTACATTCAAATTCATAGAAATCAGTCGCAGTGTTCATTACACAAAATATTATAGTACAAAATATTTGTTGACATTCGCGACAACCATAAACAAACGGACACTAGCTGAGGGTCGATAATCACGGAAGTGAACGAGTTACAGTAGGTGCAGCTGTATACAGGATACTCCACGATCTGGTAATATTAACTGCAGAGATAAGACTATTTCGTCACATATGTTGTTTATACGTCTCTGTTTAGCTTTTCTTGAGAGTGCAACAAGTTTAACATGCGTTAATTTACGAGGTCAGGAAAATAATTTTTAATCATGCTAATGTTTCCTGCGACACCAATGGGTCAAGGCTCAATCAGTTGTCACTGGGTCCTCACTCAACTCAAGAGCCAGGTGACCATTGTGTCAAATGTCAACAGATGGGGGTTATGTCAACACCTGTTCAATAACTGCTCTCACAAACAATCGTCAAAGGTAAATGTCAAACAACAGTCCACTAGAACTAACAATTAAACAAGAAAGAAACAGTTCTAAACTGACACTGGGATGATGTGGTTGCACTAACGGATCTATAGTATGGGCAGTTTAGACAAGGGAAGACATTAATAGGACATTTAGGATTGATATATCGACTCAAAGTTAAAGTGTCAGGATATGTTTGTCAGTGAATAAATAAATTGTTCAAACGGTTACCTGATCCATGAATATCTTACGAATTGAGTTGCACTCTTGTCACTGTCCAGTGTTCTCTGGCATGGTAATCTTATCAATGTATGTTTTTCCTGTGAATTATTAACACAGTAGTCATAAAATATGTATCAGTACCACAATACTGCAATGTACAACGACATCTTTAGATGGTATCACTGGAGGGCAGACGGAAATGAAAAACATCAGCATTAGCACCAAGTAACCGTGTTAACTGCACTTTCACTGAGTCCATTTGCAGGTTGGCTCAGCATTTTGATGAACTCACTCGATCCTTGCTGATACACACCCAGAGGACTTTTTTCATCTACATATGTTGTCATTTCATGCTTCGGCATGTTAAGATCTAATAAACCACTGTAAAGTGTATGCACACACAGTTCCAATATGCTTCAAGTATAAGTTGACTGGACTCAATAACCATGAAATTACAATAAATGCTGAAGATTATATTGAAAAATCTGTGCACTTTCCTCATGAAATATACAATATTATGTCTCTCACATGACATTGTCAGAGGAGTTCACATAGTTACAAGAACGAAACGTTAGCAAACACAATTTCCATTAGGTAGGTCAGGATTTATGAACCCTGTCCAAAATATTATAAAGTACTAATTGATTTCATAGAGTTACCTGTTGTCACTGGTGTCTTGTTTCAGCCCTGTTGATTTCAACACTTAAACAAGGAATTTCAAATACTGAATCATGACCGTAATTTGAGGTAATTGGAGAACATAGCAAACATGTATCACAGTGTATCACTGTATCACAGTGAGCAAATGAGTAGTTTGTAACATAAACCGCCATTGCAGATCTTCATTGCCCAAGCCCTTTTTTAAAAGCTTGTTCATGATATTTATGACCCATGTTTCAGATTGTCTGCAGATGTAGCTAGACTACACTACAATGTGCTAGGCATCTCTCGATCCTTGTGTCTACTGGGAGAGCTTGGAATGGACATTGTGATCCTTTGTAGTTGTAGGCACAATAATCTCTCAGGTGAGATAGTCATGGGAAAATTTCAAATGAGAGAGAGTCATATATTGTAATCAGCTCATTCAACATGTGTGATCCCATCTTGGTACAAAGTGTGAAGCTTAGATCCCCTACCATGATAGTGCTGGGGTATTGTGGAAGAGAATCTAATAAACATACTCACTTACTCAATGTGTTTAGAGATAAGCTTTGTTCTTGTATCATGATCATGTTGATCATCACAATAAATCTGAGAAATAGCAAAACATTTTTTTTTGAAAGCTTGCAAAAAGCGTATAAATGACATATGGTCGTTCAAATTTTATGAATATTTGGTGAATTTTATTTTCAGTGTGATAAACATGAACTGATTTGTTTCAGATTCCCTGTAGGTGAAGGCCGAAATGTCCGGGTGGGGACAATATCTGGCCAGGTTCACCTATGACCTTATCTTCTTTAGCAATGACGTCCAAACAACCACCATCGCCATGGCAATCACAGGTTCCCTGTGTTGTTCCATCCTGTGGGCCATCATCCATGTCGTCACACTCATCCATAACCCTTCTGTAAACAGTGACCCAAAGTCTGCCGCCACCACACCCACTGAGTTAGCTCCCCTGCATGGCTTGACCCAGGTACCAAGTATTGTCTGGTTCAGTATCCAATACCAACATATGTGTGAAGTTTGATAGTGCACGCATAGCGATCATTGTAATGCAGCAGCTGGAAGGTACCTGTTTAAACCTCCCTAAGGCCCAACCTAGCCATACTATCACTATACAGCACCTTAACCTCATTATGCCGCGCCATACTGTTACCTCCACCTTCCTTTACCTTGCCATGCCATTTCTGTAGCTCACCATAACTTGACTATACCATACCTTACCTTTGCTATACCTTGCCATACCTTCACTACTCTTTACCTTACCATTTGCCATACCTTCCTATACCTTACTGTCACTGTAACTTACCATCACCTTACCTTTGCCATACCTTGCCACACCATTCACCTTGTCACTGTAACTTGCCACACCATCACTATATCTCACCTTACATGCTCACCTTTCCTTTGCCATACCTTGCCACACCATCACTATATCTCACCTTACCTTTGCTGTACCTTGCACACCACCTATATCTCACCTTTGCTGTACCTTGCCACACCACACCATATCTCACCTCACCATCACCTTGCCACACCATCACCATATCTCACCTTACCTTTGCCATACCTCACCATCACCATATCTTGCCACACACCATCACCATATCTCACCTTTCCTTTTGCCATACCTGCACCACCATCACCATACCATCACTGTACCTTTGCCACCATCACCATACACACCATCACCATATCTCACCTTCTACCTTGCCACACCATCACCATATCTCACCTTACCATTGCTGTACCTTGCCACACCATCACCATACCTCACCTTACCATTTTCGCTGTACCTTGCCACACCATCACCATATCTCACCCATATCCTTTTGCCATACCTTGCCACACCATCACTATATCTCACCTTACCTTTGCTGTACCTTGCCACACCATCACCATATCTCACCTTACCTTTGCTGTACCTTGCCACACCATCACCATATCTCACCTTACCTTTACTGTACCTTGCCACACCATCACCATATCTCACCATCACCATACCATATCTCACCTTACCTTTGCCATACCTTGCCACACCATCACCATATCTCACCTTACCTTTGCCATACCTTGCCACACCATCACCATATCTCACCTTTCCTTTGCCATACCTTGCCACACCATCACCATATCTCACCTTACCTTTGCCATACCTTGCCACACCATCACTATATCTCACCTTACCTTTGCCATACCTTGCCACACCATCACTATACCTCACCTTACCTTTGCCATACCTTGCCACACCATCACCATACCTCACCATAGTGTCCAGAATTGAGGAGCATCATTCTAGTGTCAACCCTGTAGGGGGAGCGGGGGGTTGACTTGGTCACAGCAACCATTCATGTTATGAGGGTGACTTGATGAACTGAATGTTTAGTTTCTAGTTTTCAGTTGAACATCCAGGCTTCCCTTGTGCATGGTAATTACCGCCTTACATCCTGTTTCAGATGACCCAGAGATCACTGATGAGCACCTGCCTAGATGTTGTGTGTATCAGGTAACACAGCAGAATCTTGGCATGTACTGCCAGTATTGTTCTATAATCAATGTCTGCTTATGCTAAACTCAAACTGGGTATGGTACTCATGGTATGTCCCCAAACAAGAACATGTTGTACCTTGGTCCCATAAATTTATCAAAGTCGAAACATAGCCCAGTCAGTTGCCAGTATCACATGAATAGATGGGGCATTACTGGTAAACATAATAGAAAAACATGCACATGGTATTGAAGTAGTGTGGTGTGGTGACGTTACACCTACCGGGGTATGTAACATTGGTGATGTAACAGTGATGTACCAAGGTAAAAACACTTCACAGGTATGTAGTGAGCATACAAATTAATTCTAAGTGGACACGTTGGGTGTAGTCAGACACAAATATAAATATTTTGACATGTACTTGGTGCATGTAGACATAAATATGAATGTTTATATAATAGGCTGCACTTGTGCATGTTTAGCTGGCCCTAATATATAAGTCAAGCTCTGATCAAATGTTGAGTGTCATACTGTTTGTATGAAGTAGGCTACTAACTCACCATGCTCACCGGGATTGTTTTGGTTTTGTCAGATGTGGTCGCCTGATGTCGAACCAGAAGTGTCGGTATGGGATGTGCTCCGGATGTTGCCTGGGGCGACAGCAGTGTCGTGTGCATCAGCCTCAGGTCATGTCAGACTCAGTCAGTATGGGGCTCCGAATCTCTGGCCCTAAAGGAATCGATCTCAGGTATCATTGTACATTTATTTGTCTATAAACATTTGAATTAGCCCCAAGGATTGTCTGAAGACAGTATAATTAATATTTTGAAATTAAATAGAATTATAGACTGGTAGAAAGCTATCTTACTTTTGGCAACCAGTGTTATGTATATTTTGTCTCTGCACATCTTGCAATAGTTGATATAATCTAAAGCATGAATGTGCCCAGTGGTTACTGAAACTGACACTTCACAGACAGACACACAGAGAAACACTGACTGTCCATCCTTGGATGTCTGCTTGTACACTGCAGACATTTGACACATGAAACATTATCACATTGAATCTTTTCAATTCAGTCATTTCCCTTTGGGACCTTAAACACGTCACAATAGCCTTGAGCAGACTTCTAAAAGCCTGATGTTGGGAAAGAGATCCCCCATGCCACATCTCAGCGGGATGACTGTTACAAGACCATTCCCTCAGCCTATTGGTCAAAGGGGAGATAATTTATGGAAAATGTCAATTCCCTTACCTGATTGAGTTTTGATGAGGCCTGGTTTTGTTTTCTTCCTTCTTGGGTTAGTGCAGGAGACAAAATATTAGAAAAAGGATATTGTGAGGTGTTTTAGATGATAGAAGTTAAATGTCAGACGTGTCTTTTGAATTCAACTTTCATCACGACATGCCTGGTCGTGTAGTCAAATCATACCATGCCTTGTTTCAGCAACAGCTGTATGGGCAGTGTCCCTGAGCGTCTAGGATTTGTCGGTGCCCAGCTGACCTACCTCAACCTGTCCTGCAACAGTCTCACCCAACTCCCACCAGATATCGGCTGTCTCCAGGGGCTGCGAGAACTACAGCTCAATGGCAATCAGCTCACCCACATTCCAGTTCGTCATGAATTCTTTCTTCTCTTTTGCTTATTGTCTTATATTATCTTGTGTGTCTCAAAATCTCAAGTTTACTTCAGAATCATTAATTGATGTTTCCAGTGTATAGATTACTGTGATGACTCAACCAATTATGCCAAAGTATAAGATCATATCAGTTTATGGTACATAGTTCTGCCACAGACATTAACATAGCTGATTGTATTGCAGTCCTCATTAGGGAGTCTACATCAGCTGACAGAGCTGAATCTACGACACAACCAGCTGACTGACATTCCAGGTATACACTAGCTCACCTTATCCACTGTTAACTGTTGATGGGGCAGCATGATGGTATTGATAGTCTGAATTAATAGTTTTGTCTTATTTAGTAAATTGTTGCCATGAAAGTGAAAGTCACCCATGAAATCTGTAAGTAAAGGTAGTCGTATTGTTGCAGTAGTCACATTTATAGTTTCACACTTATTGTTTCCCCTTCCCTCACACCTGTTACCTGTATATTGTCAGATTCTCTTCTACACCTGCCTAGTCTGAAACACCTGAATGTGGAGCACAACCAGCTGACCAATCTGTCCCCAGGGATCAGTCATCTCTTGCTCCTGGAGGAGCTCTACATAGGGTGAGACACCTGTCACACCTGTAATAAAATTATGAATAATCATGTCAAATAACCTTTTACATCAAAATGTATGCTAACACTAAATGCAAAATTTTATTCTACTTCTACAATCAAGATTCAACTTGAAGCAAATGGAAAACATTTTGTCACCCCATCCCTACCCTCAGACATGAACCCTAAAAAAGGAGGTGTTTATTCTTATGTAAGCATTTTCCTGCAATTATTATGATTTTAAGTTAATAGTTTTTATTTTTTGATCATGTGAATGTGATGGATCTTGTTACAGATATAACTGTCTCACATCTTTACCAAGTGCAATAGGAAAACTTTTTAATTTAAAGGTAAGAAATGTTCAATTAAAAAATTAAGAAATACAGTTCGCTCTACCACCATGTATAGTGTAATAAAACACACTTTTAAGTCCTCGTGCTTTAACTATAATAGTTCAGGGCTTAAAGTGTGTTTTATTACACTATACATGGTGGTAAGCGAACTGTATTTCTTTCTAAGATGCCAAATTTAATACTTTCTAAGGATAACTCACGATTAATTTAATGCAGAAAACAAAGCGGACGATTGTCGGTGACCTAAATTAAGAATCCTTGCACAGGGCTAACTGGCTGTTCTATTGATGTGTCTGCCCCCCTACGTTAAGACGAACGTTACTAGAAAAACAAATGATGACGGTTTGATGACGGTTTACGTTCGGATTAAATATCTTCATTAAATTATTTTCATTACATCTGTGATTAACGTAAACCATGTGAACGTCGCATTTCTACTACCAACATATGTTTAGATCAGTACATCCAGACGAAGCTGTGTAGTCAAGCGACATTCCACGATTGCATTGTGGGAATGTAAACATTGCGAACGTTACCGTGTCGCTGAAAACTTGTGAGTCGAATTGACACATTTTAACCGTCGTAAAACATAAACGTAATGTTTCCACCAGTGATGTTAGCTGCGTGAAGCAACTGCAAACCAAAAAACGTGATGCAGCGCAGTAGTTTACTGTAGGAGGCTGTACGAGGCGATGACAACTGACATGCATCGTGACGTCGCTTACATTGTGACGTAATGTTAAATGGTTCGATTACGATGGGGCACATCAATTGTTATGTCATCAAAAAACTATACCTTTATTGTCTGATAATGTTTGGTTTTTTCGATTGTTCTAAGAGCTTGGCATCTTAGAATTACTGTTAATATGTCACATGCAAACATTTTGTTAGCGTTTGGTTCTTAAATGTGCTATATCTTGCTGCTTTCATCTTTAAAGGATGTTTTATATTTAATATACAGGTATGAAAACTATTTCATTAAACTATGTTCACTCCGTCATCAAATTGCAGTTGAAGAGAATTCACCTGATGTGAAGAATGGTATAGTTTAGTCTTTTCTAGTGTTTTGTTTATACAGAAAACTAGCTGACATGTTGCATGTCAGGTGATTTCTGCTGACATTACCAGTAATGCCCAGGTGTGTTTTCATGTTTTGCCTTAGAAAAAGAACAGGGAGAGGTGTTTAGGTGTGCTGTTTGTGTTTAAATTTACTTACTTGTAGAAATATATAAATATATGAAATTGTAATGAAAAACTTATGCCACATTTATAATATAACAGGTGCTGTCTGTCCGCCATAACAAGATGGCCACCAGTCTACCCAAAAGTATTGGTCAGCTGATCTGTCTCCAGCAGCTGGACGTAGAGGACTGTGATTTGTCGTGCCTGCCGTCCACCTTAGGGAGATGCATGTCACTGCACACACTCAAGCTGTGTCACAACAGGTACACAGCCTCACAACAATCTGCTCCAGTTTGTTAATCAGGCTGTCTGTCTGTCTGTCTGATGAAGTGATATTATCTATAAAAGAAAATAACTTAAAACTGGAAATCAAATCTTGCACCATTTTGATGACATTAAACTTTATCTTACATACACTAAAGCACTCACTGTGTTTGAGCTTCCTTAGTCATGTGCTATGGGTTATGGTTTAATAATGGCAGTGATATTTCAGACTGAGTTACCTCCCCTACCAGCTGGCTCAGCTGCAGCAGCTGCAAGAGTTGTATGTGACGGACAACCGTCTTTCATCATTCCCAGCTGCCATGGAAAACATGGCAATCAAAATGTTTGAAGGTAAAAGGAACTTTGTCACATTAATCATTCATTTTGTTCATGTTAATGAATATTGATGAAGAGCTCATTGACAGTTTCTGTTAACATTGGCTGGATTGTGTCTCAGTTTCAGGCAACCCTCTAATCACAGGGGATACTGCTGTTATTTCATCCAATGAAACGACACCAACAGGGGTCTTAACATTCCCTCCTCTCGTTGAAATAGTTGCCCGGCAAATAGTATTAAAGAAAATAGGACGCCGCCATCTTCTTCCTGAATTCTTGCAAGGTAAGCAGATAGTCAGTGGCCATCCTTAATTACCAATTGATTTCTTGGAATTATTTCTTTGAGAATAAACCAAATCCACACTGACCTGTTTGTTTCCACAAAGTGGCATCATCATGACAGGTGTGTGCTGGTGTTTCGGTAGGTAGGGTAGAATCCTGGTGGAAAATTAGTATGTAAGAAAGTAAATAAGTGTTTCTCAGAATACACACAATGTCTTTCAGAAAGTGAAGGAAAACCAAGTTGTATGGATAGTCAACTTCTTCATAGCAATGAGTGCAACGTTTCGGTGTAGATATTAACACTCTTATCAAGCAGGTGATGACTATACAACTTCTAAAATGCCTCTCAAAGACTTTTCAGAAAGGTGAGGTGAGGTGAAATTGGATTTAACGTCGTGCTTGAGAATATTTCGCTCATATGACGACATGCATGCGTGTGTATGTGTATGTGCGGCTGCTTGTACTAGCCCAGACTTAAGCTGGTTTTACAGTGCTAACCCACTGAGATACCATACCGCAGTTGAGCATGAATACCCCACTCAGACACATTGTACTGACTCCAAGCCGACCAGTCCTTGTTGTACCCATTAATGCCGAGCGCCAGGCAGGGACCAACAAGTACCATATTTTAACGTCTTTTGGTATGATGTGGTCGGGGATCGAACCCGTGACCTTCCGCTCTCCGGGCGGACGCTCTAACCGCTACACCACGGAGACGGTCCTTTTCAGAAAGTGGTTAAATGAACCATATGTTATATTTGGGATGACACTTTTTCAGTAAAGTGCAGATTCTAGTACTTTTGTTGGGTTCGTCCCATCCAGGATTAGAACCCCTCACTCTCAGAGTTAGACAGCCAATCACCAGCACACAGTCATCTAACCCACTCAGCCAGTGTGGTGATTGCTGACATAGGTTACAAGTGTTTCTCTGGCTTATTTTGTATGATGGTATAACAATGGTACCAAGACAGATGATCTGAAATCAAATAAGTTAATTCATGTGGACATTCTTAGCTTGCGTCTTGAAAATCACTAATTTCTATGAATGCCTGTAGCATGTTATCCAATATGGTATACATAAACTCTGAGTGAGTGAGTATGGTTTTACGCTGCTTTTAGCAATATTCCTGCAATATTGCGTCTGGTGACACCAGAAATAGGCTCCACACATCATAAACTATGAAGCAGAACCGGCATAATGTCAAGGGAATAGCATGTTTAAAGGAGATGAATGGGTTTATTTGTCCATTTGAACTGAACGTCATTCATCAAGTAATCCAGATGGAGGTGAGCTACAGAGCCTTGTTTGTTTGTTGTTGTAGATTTCCTGCACACCAGGAAGCAGTGCAGCCATTGTAAACAACCTGTTTTCCACTATCACCACACAACAATCCGCCATGGAATCATCGGAACATACCGCATCAAGGTGCCTCTCAAAGAAACTCTGTGTGCTCCCCATCTGGCCAACAAATGTCCAGTTTTGTGAAAAAACTTGCTACAATTCCATGAAGTTATGAAAATTATGTCTGTATTTTTGTAAAAGGTGTGAAAGAATGTGCTTGACTGGAGAAAAGGGGAGTGCTTTAATAGTCGTCTAAGGTGCTGCAATCTGCTGTGCAGAGTTGCCTCCCTTGATTGATCCAGAAACATGGTGCAAGATTCAGTTTGATTCTGTTTATGGGTTTATCAACATCGTACCTGTTCTTGTGAATTTTACCAAAGTGGTAAATATCTGAGACCTAATTAGGGATTCCCTCCAACATCATGCTGATACACCGTGATATAAATAAGGAATTTCATTTCACTATGAATAGTGAATAACATACATGAGAAAACCTCACAAAGAACTAGATCAGAGCATCACAACAGGTGGATCTAAACTGGTAGATGTCTGATCTCCCCCACATTGAGGGTCATGTCTCTAGGGTCCAATAGCTGTTACAGGAAGACAGGGCCACAGTCAGGGTTGACCAGTCAGTGAACAATGATGGCTCTGAAGATGGCTCCCAACATTCCATCTGTGTTACATGTCATGTACTGTGCATGTTGCAGACCAAAACTGACAAATACTTCAGATGTCTTCTTCTGTAATTGAAATAGTTTATGGAGGATAAAATTGCCTGTTGGCTTTTATCTATTTTCCTTTCATATTGGGCTAGAACAAGGTATTTACATGTCTTATAGACAAACCAACCCTAAATCTTTTAAAAGTGAAAACATGTTACTGTAAAAATGCTGTTTGAGAAAGAAAAACATTTTCTGCATTTTTGTTTAAACTTTTACAGATTCAATTTTTTTATGTTTTTGGGGTGTTTTTTTATACTTCTTGAAAATCAGTAAGAAAAGAAAATGGATCAGGATGGTGTAGTACTTGAAACTTGTGGCACTACACACTGAACAGCTCTCTGTGACCAGGCAGCTAAGTCAAGGGTCGTTAGATTGGAGTGTCTCTGGAGGTACCTGCGAGCTGTCTGGAGTGGCATTGTGTAAAGCACAATATATATACAAGTTAAAATGTCCAAATTGTTTATCCCAAGTACAGTCCATACACTCATGCTGCCTCTCAGCTATGAACCTAAACCCTTCCATACAAAACTACAATTTGTGTAAACATTGCAGCAAATCAACTTCAGTGGCAGAGATTAGTCACTATATTAGAGACGATAAGTTCCTGACTTGACGACATTAACTCTTAATGACTTAACGACATTAACTCTTAATGACTTAAAAACTGGGACGGTGTTTGATCTTTGTGTGGACAATTGTCATATCAGTATCGGGTGTATATTTAGTCATTCAGCATTTTATCCTGTGATGATTTGTAATTCTATATTTATATGAATTCCATATACAACTGTCATAATTTCTGTGATTTCTCTACACACGTTTATGTGTAGTTTTAGAATTACATCCCCTTGTAATTCAGTCTTCGGATTATTCCAACCCATCTGTCCATCAGCATCATCTTCTAAAGAAATGGAAAATGATACTCATTATTTCCCTGAATTGTAAAAAGATTTTCTCAAGAGGGATGACATTTGTGATGACATTAATAACACAGAGTTAGTGTATGGAAGTGATTTTCTCACTTGCTTCATGGTTTATAGATTGAGCCTGAAATACACGTCTCCATATGTCCTTATTTATAGTGTATCAAACCTCCATGTTATGAGATATATCAGGGTTTTACCTGGAGGTAAAAAACTGCAGGTCCAGGCGATCCCCATCAATAAATTTGACAGGGTCTTGTAGGTAATATGAGGGTCCAGTAAAGTATTGATATGGTTCAGATAATTACTTCAGAGACTGGAATGAATCAGTGATCATGTGGACAATGGTCGTGACTGATGGTTGATATAACAGACACAGATAACTTCTCTTGATGCGCTGTAGGTATAATCTTAGTATCTTTGTGCGTCTCTCTGGATGTGGTGTTTGGGGTTTTCAGCCCCCATTCTCTACATTAGTGTGTACTGGACGGACATTTGTGCGTAGCACAAAACCCGAATATATATCTGGGTCTCATTTGGCACCAAATTCCAGTCACATTACCAGCTTGGTAAGCTGTTCTTTACATCAGTGATCCCAACAAGAGGCAATGTCACCAGGGCTTGACTCGCCTTGTTGTGGCGTCACAGACTCATGGTGGCAGAAGGATTTGTCTCCCTTTCTTGACACTCAGGCAAATATCCTGTCTATATGAAGGTAATGAATCTTCGGATTCAACTATATGCATATTAGGGGCTTGCTTATGTTACAGTCTGGAATGTAGATGTATACTAATCAATCAGCTGATTGAATGTTGATTTCCAGGGTATGAGGGAGAGAAATTTTGGACTGAAATAAAAAATGGTAATGGTGATGTGACTGATGTCATCAGGGGCCAGGGTATGACAAAATAACGGAGATAAAATACCCTTGATAATGAACGATGTACTTCAGTAGGTTTCAGATCTGCAGAACTAGAAGAGTTTTTCACTGAGGCATGGTGTAATGTATCAGGAAGAAGACTGTTTAGGTTTGTACATGTATGTGTATTTGATAATGCAGCATTATTGAATCTAGTCACGATTAACATTTGATTCCTTTTGAATTGTAGATACTATCATGAAATGTTCCAACTGAAATAATATTCTCGAGAGATGAGTGATGTTAGGGTGGTGCAGAATTGGGTACAATCAAACCCATGTTCACAACTAACCCTGTCGTGATATGTAACACTCATATTTAGTAATGTTTACTTTGTGTATCATTAACAGATCGTTTGACTAACACTGCAAGAACCCTGAGTAGTAATTTACCTGCAAATATGGAGTTCAAATCTGAAGACCCCCCGAGTTAGAATTGATCTTCAGTAACCCATGCTTTTCGTAAGAGGCAACTAACAGGATTGGGTGGTCAGGCTTGCTGACTTGGTTGACACATGTCATCGTATCCCAATTACGTAGATCAATGCTCATGCTGTCGATCACTGGATTGCCTGGTCCAGACTCAATTATTTACAGACCACTGCCATATACTAGTAGCTGGAATATTGCTGAGTGTGGCGTAAAACTAAACTCACTCACTCAAATCTGCCCCGTCTATGTTAGATGGATAAAAATAATTGATTCTCCTGAAGTGACCGTGACAAAGACTTTTATCAGTATTATTTCTGATCATCCTGAAGGAGACAAAGTAAGATTCCTGATGAAGAAAGTTTCTGTGGATTCAGTAGCCAGTCTGAATGATTCTTGCTCTTTAAGCCTATGACTTTTGTCAATAAATTATCTGTATCAATTAATCATATCATTTCATGTTCCTTCCATATAATGTTTGAATTTGCTCAAATTAGAATAATCCATAATTGTTTTAGAAAGGACACAAGAAGAGGTTTGCCTATATCCTACAGAACAGATGTTACATGCATGTACCCAAAGTTGTTCAAGCAGCCATAACATTCCCAGGTTTTCTATGTCATTTCTGTGAGGCATCAGTATATCCATTGCTTTATGATCGTGCCAAACTTTACAAGATTTGGGGCAATGCTTCAGTAAACAGCCCTGATGAGGAATGTCATTTCCAGTATGACATGGATAGAAAATGTATTGAAATCCCAAACAGATGCCACATGTACTACGCAAGTGCTTGCTTATTATCTGAGACTGTACCATCTTCAAAGTACTGCGCATGTTTTTTTAAAATGAGAACTTTAATATACTATTTAAAAAATCATAGTACTAAATTGTGGACAAATATGGTGTTATAATGTTAAGACTTACAGCTATGAAGAATTTAGGCTACAAGGAAAATACCTAGAAAGCTTCTGATTGTCATCTTAAGTTAGGCACATATTCATGAAGAAGCAGATGTCATATATATTACAAGTCAGTGTTGTGAGTCATCATATGCAAATGAGCAGGTATAAATTTACATGTCAATGTCTTTGTTATTTTGCTTACATTTTAAAGATATTTCAAGTGCTATCAGTATTTCATTCCACTTTCGTTTGCGTGTTTTTCAATTGTTTCTCTGTGTGGTTTCTTTGTCAATATTTCTGTTTAAATAGCAATGCTATAAAGGCAATCATATTCCTAAAACGTGTTTGTTGAATAAATAAAAATTGTTAAAGTGAAACTATTACGATTCTTGAAAAACAGGCATGTTGGAATATTTTTAATGATTGCTTCCATATATTTGTTTTTCATAAAAGGGAAAAATATATGCCCTGTTAGCTATGTTAATAAGCAGTATTCTAGGGAAATGCAATATGTGTGTATATGCTGTGCTTGTTGGGCTTTTTTCACTACAAGATGTCCTTTTTTGGAGAGTTCATGAGAACGTTTATATGCATTCGGGCTTGAAAGGCTTATTGTGCTGTTTTTTCAAATCTTTGAATAAAATGTCTTCTAGTCGTCGTGTTGTTGTTTGTTCATTTTGTGTCATTATCCTTTTTAAGATATACTAGGCACATAAAGAAACTGTGCATACAAAAATTTAAAATCTAAATTTATCAAACCTGTGTAGACACATAAGGATTTAAACTCAGAGATTAGTGACATGTATCCAACATGCATGCACGTGCCACGTTCCGTGACGTCAGTGGGTTCGTCCTTGAGACGTGCAATACGTTGTTGCACGTGCATTCCGGGAAAGAGAAACAGAGCAAATGACAATGTTTACGTCATCACGGGATCAGACCATGACGTCCCGCCATACGGCCTATCCTGACACAACGTCATCGACAAGCTCGCCGAATGTGGTGCCGAAATCATGTCCGCAGACCCTTGTTTTGGTGGAGAAATGTTGTTTTTACAGATGAGTCCAGGTTTAACATTTCCCATAGTGATGGACGTCAACGTGCCTATAGACGCGTGGGAGAACATTATGCACAGGCCTGTGTCTTGGAGAGGAATCGCTTTGGTGGTGGTTCCGTGATGATTTGGGGTGGAATAACAGCACGCCAGAAAACTCCTTTGGTGATTGTTCAGGGCAACTTAACTGGTGTGGGCTACAGGGATCAGATTCTTCGACCTGTGGCAATTCCTTTTCTGCAACGTCATGGCCCTGGGTTAACATTCCAACAGGACAATGCCCGCCCTCACACGGCAAGGGTTGCTATGGATTTCTTGCAACACCACAACGTTGACTTACTGCTTTGGCCTGCAAATTCACCGGATCTCTCCCCGATAGAGCATGTTTGGGACGAGATGGATCGACGTCTACGCCGTCTTCCTCATCCGCCAGATAACGTCCTTGACCTTGCAACAGAACTTGAGAGAATCTGGCATGACATCCCACAAGCCTTCCTTGCACGTTTGATAGGCTCTATGCGTCGTCGATGCACTGCAGTTCTCAATGCCGATGGTGGACATACCCGTTATTGAGCTTGTGACATGGTCGTTTGACCCCTGCATTCTCTTGGACTCGTGACGTCATTGTGATTGACTTTTCAATTGAAATTCTCACTTCTTGTTATGGTCTCTCTCATGATCCCTCCATTAAAGTGTATATGTACCTTTGACAATGTTATCGTACTTATCAACTGGGATAATATTTTGACAATGCACAGTTTTTTATGTGGCTAGTATATATAATTTTATCAGTTTACATCCTTATGAATAAGATGGACTTGATTTTGGGAAAATACCCTCAACCAAAATATCGGGTGAAAAATAGTCTTAGTGGTCTTCCAAACAGCCTAGTAAGTTAGAGTTATCTCCCTTTACCACGTTGCCTGACTATTTCGTCAAGTTTCACCATACATCGAATTTCAGTGAAAAGGGAACAGTCTCTGTGAACATGAGTTTTGCGAAATACAAGAAACTGATTGAGGAGGGAGACACGGTTATACTATACCTAAGTTTCAATAACTTGATCCCAATCACGGTCACGAGCGGACAAACCCACCAGAACAAGTATGGAGCTCTGAAGCATTCGGACATGATCGGTGTTGCTTACGGAAGTAAGGTAAAATTGAAAAACAAACAACGAATGTTTTCAGTTTTGGATTTACCGGAATTTAACTCTACACCGAGAGTACGGTACAAGACAGGTTACACTAACTTGTCGTATTGTCTGTCTTTGATCAGTTTCACAAATGCTGGTCACAGAAGCCTAGCTTTTCATAGAAATTCATAACCTAACTTCAGGTTGTTTATTTCACTCGTGTTGTAATTAGTATCGTCTGTGTAGAATTCCATACGGTGTAGAATCCGGTGTATAAATAATGTGTAGGTTAACAACATGAAGAAGGGAAATTTGAAAATCTTCCACAAAACCTACATCGTACACGAATGTTGTTTGTAGATTAACCTGAAGAAGGGCTATGTGTATGTTCTGCACCCAACCTCGGAGCTATGGACGCAGACTGTTCCACACCGCACCCAAATCCTATACACCACTGACATCAGTATGATCTTGACACAGCTTGATCTTCGACCTGGCAGTATTGTTGTGGAGTCTGGTAAGGAATGTATTGATTCATTGTTGCCTTTACGTAGATGAGGATGGTTAGATTTGTGTCATCAGAATATTAAAAACATACATACAACGAGGACTTATAATTTAGTAGAGATAAAAAATATAACCATAATTATTGACAGTTAAAAGTTGCATTGTGATGAGTCGCTGCAGCTCCATAAAACCAAAATCAAAAATCAACATTAGTTGAGAATGGTATGTTTGTGTAAGGCACCAAACACAGTTTCACATTTGGGTGAGTGCTGGGGAAAATAAGTCTAGTTTTTGAAACTATGATAATGTTTGATTAAACCTCAATTTGATAAAAGAACAATTTTGACAGATGTATGACCCTTGAAGGTATGGGTTAGAATGTACCTTCAGTAACCCATGCTTGTCGTAAGAGGCAACCAACGGGATTGAGTGGTCAGGGTCACTGGCTTGGTTGACACGTCATCGGTTCCCAATTGCACAGATCAATGCTCATGCTGTTGATCACTGGATTGTCTGGTCCAGGCTCGATTTTTTACAGACTGCCCCTATATAGCTGGAATATTGCTGAGCTCGGCGTAAAACTAAACTCACTCACTCAGTAGATGTGTTGTCAGAAGGGTTCTAATTGTTATGTCCGTGGCAATCCTAACCAAAGACGGTTCCTCCCACTCTGCAGGCACTGGTAGTGGGTCACTATCCCACTCACTGATCAAGGCAGTGATGCCGACCGGCCACCTACACACATTTGAGTTCCACAAGGAAAGAGCTGAGCAGGCTGCAGAAGAGTTTAAGTCCCATGGACTCGCAGATTATGTGACAGCCAATCACCGAGATGTGTGTGGGGACGGCTTTCAGTTGGATCAGGTGGCTGATGCGGTTTTTTCTTGATCTTCCTTCACCTTGGGAATGTATTGCCAGTGCAAAGCAGGCTTTGAAGAAAGAAGGTAATCCACAGACAGAAGAGCGTATTGTAAAGATCAAAGTAAACAGGGGATAAACTTATTCACTTGAAGTATTGTTTGGATAAATTGGTTATGTTATGGGCATATGGTTCTAATAATATTATCAGACATGAGTTAGTACAGCCAGATGCTAGTACCTGAAATGTGCTTCTGGTGGCTAGTGTGTCTGTATTATTTACCAAGCACCACACAAAAATAGAAGTTTGCAAACAGATGGATGGCATTTTGCTGCAGATCATGTAAACTCATGTGAAAAGTATTAAGTAACCAATTGCTTGAAAGCAGCCAACAAATATCTGACAAGTCAGTAATCTGAAAACCCTAAGATGTTGGCAAAATAGTTTGAGAATACCGAGTGATACTATTTCTCACCAATAGGTGATTAGTCTCCAAGATTCAGGGACACAAACGACCCATGAAGATCCAGGTTCAAATTGGTCTTCAGCAACCTATGCTTGTCGTAATAGGTGACTAACCATGTTCACAACTAACCCTGTCGTGATATGTAACACTCATATTTAGTAATGTTTACTTTGTGTATCATTAACAGATCGTTTGACTAACACTGCAAGAACCCTGAGTAGTCATTTACCTGCAAATATGGAGTTCAAATCTGAAGACCCCCGAGTTAGAATTGATCTTCAGTAACCCATGTTTGTCGTAAAAGGCGACCAACAGTTTCAGGTGGTCAGGTTCGCTGACTTGGTTGACACATCATCGTATCCCAATTGCGTAGGTCGATGCTCATTCTGTTGATCACTGGATTGTCTGGTCCAGATTCTGAGTGCGGCGTTAAACAACAAACCAACAACATCAGAGACACAAAGATGGTTGTTAACTTAAATTGGCAGCCTTAAGTTTGCCTTGTGACAGCTATGTTAAGTTGACAAACACAGGAAAAGGAACTGATTTGACTTGCATTTCAAAAGGTTTTAAGTTTCAGGATCGGTATAGGAAAATAAAAAAATATTAGATTGTGCTTTTTTAGAAGCTGTCCCACTTTTTCTGTATTTTCCAGGGGGACGACTGTGTAATTTTTCTCCATGTATTGAACAAGTCCAGAAAGCCTGTGAGGCTCTGTCACAACATGGATTTAAGGATCTAACAACGTTGGAGTGCCTCTTGCGGAATTTCAATGTCAGGACTGTCAAACTCCCATTGGCTGATCTTGGCCAATCTGGGCTTGAGACACCAGACCCTGCTGAATGTGTACCAACGAAGGTCAAGATCTCAAAGGTGGATAACTCTATGGACAAAGAATCTGATGTCAAGGGACAAGTAGCTGGACCTTGGAAGAAAGTACCCAAATGTGACTTGATAGGAAAAATTACCGAGAAAGACTTTGTTTTCCAGACAGGAGCACCCCCCAGTCAACACCCAGGGCCACACAGGCTTTCTGACGTTTGCAACACTGTATCCATCTTGAGAGGTATTTCTTGAGTGGTATCTTCTCACAAGAATGTTTCCCATTGTCACAAAAGGAAGTGCCTATGGTGGGAGGGTTTCCTCTAAATTTCAGTGTATTTAACAATGGATTTCTGTGGTTTTGTGGAACAAGGGAAGCAGGGATGGTCATGAACACGCTCAAGGGGAGGCATATTTACCATGTATTAGGGGCGTGAGTGGGGGTGAATAGAATAAATGTACATTCAAAACCTTAAATGTAGTTCTTTTGCATTTCTTTTCGGGAAAGTTCACAAGCAAAATGTTCAAGGACATGACAATCTCAGGCATTATCATTATTTTGAGTATTTTACTTCATCAAAAGCTGAACATATACTGAACATATACTGAACATACAGCTCTGTTAAGTTCTGTTCTGGTTTAGCACCAGCAGTAGCTGGCAACATTTCTGGTCATTGGGTTAGAATTGGTCCAGGACAACCTATTCCCAAGCTCTATGATTTCATAGCCTGGATAATGTAAGGATAGCATTAAACAGTGCCAGTAATATCGATCACTGGACTGTTTTGTTTTCATTTATGCTGAGCACCAGTAAATGTAATGCATGTGAACATGGTAAATGGTACTACTTGAGAAAATAACAACACAACATGTCTCAGCGGAAATATTTAATGAGAGTTTCATCATGTTCCCACAGTGACAGTATGTACATATGAAAGCTGTCATGCACCATCTAGTATGTACAGAGATGCTATCCACCCAGACCGACACCCCCTCACCAGCTGCTGGGAACAACCCTGAGCAGCCAGTCATGAGACCTGTCGGGACAGTATAGGAGAATATACATACAATGAACCCAGTAAAACAAAGTGACATTCCTACTGAAAAAATTACAGACAGTGCCACTATATATTTTTCAGGTTAACAAGCAAAAAAAAATAATCATTAAAATCACACAAATTCTTCAAGAAAGGATTTAAACCTTTCTTTAAAATTATAATTAAAAAAATAAGCTACAACTGTCAATTTACTGATAAAACAAAGCCGAGAAGAAACTGGAAGTATCTACAAGAAGTGAAAACCTATTTGTGACTGTGAAAGTCAGAATACCCCTTTACATTCTGATCTACTTTCACTGTTTTAGAGAGAAACTGATTCTGACTAATGTCACAAACTTTCAGATGCAGAAAACGTAAACATATTTTAACCTTCAAAAGTTAGTAACATCAATACACCACCAAAGCAAAATATAGTTCTGCCTTCCAGAATGTCATCTTAAAGTTAAATATTAAGTGACATGACCTAATAGAAGAAAGAAACACATATTGTCCATTGCAAATCTTACATATCTTTTATCAAACATTAAATAAACACATCTGTATTAGATATATCATCCCGCTGTAAAAGAATCTGTGGATTTTCAACAAACAGCACACTACATTTGTGGATGTTCAACAAACAGCAAATTACATGCTGACGTACCCCACAAATGAACAAATTCAGTTACATTTTGTGGAACCTGTGTGGATACGCCTGTTATTCAACATTCACAGCAACAGAGAGCAGCAATTTGATTATAAGAACCAGAATTACATACACACCTGGCTCACACAATATTATACAGATAGTTGTAGATGGAGTAACTGGTCTCCTGGCTGCACGTGTTGTACTGCAGCCCTTCGTCACATACATACATCCCACAGATCAGGTATACAATATATTATGCATGGTCACACAATGAAACAAATATACAGACACCAAAATGGAGTATTGGGTTCAAATTCTGATATGTCGAGCTGACCAACAAAATTTAGCAGTGATAATTATCACTTAAACAATATCCGTTCACAAATCACATAATCCCAAAGCATACAAAGTTTGGCAAGTTGTATATACTGTAACACACCATGCCCTTGCTCATATATACTGCTGTTGTCAAACCCCCGCAGTAAGCATGGTTTACTGGGTTGATTTATCAATGAAGTGTTCAATATATTGAAGGCAATAATTGCAAAGCAAAGTGTACTCATATTTTAACAACCAAAACCAAGGAATGATTGCAAAGCATGGCTTTAACTTATTTGGTTACACATGAAGCTGAAAGCAGAGCGTGAGCACGAGTGAGTGATTGAGAGCAGCCAAGCACGGCATTCTTCCGGCCATATGCCGGGCTCCACCCACTACCTATGTTGGCAGATCATCCCATCACACGATGACCACATGGTCACCGCTGCTTACTGAACACAACATTATGATACAGACAATCCAATCAGCTGGAGGTGTGGTGCACACTGTACATATTTACACAACCCAACAAAGACAAGACACATAGGACTAGAGGGAATCTCTCCGACGGCCTCCTATATATACTGGTACATGTATATATATACAGTCCTCAACGCACCAGTGTAACACTTAATGTCATGTCACACTTCTCCAGTTACCAATGCATTGTACAATTTGAAATGAATGAACAAACTAAAAACAAAGTGTTTTGGAAAAAAACCATGTAGGTCAAGGTTCAAGTATTTGCAATGTCAAACTGACAGATCCAGACACTGAGACTTACTGCAGTGTACATCAAATATATAATTCTGCTTCATGATATAACTGAATATTAATTCCCAGGTGATATTCAATTGAAAAAATAGTACGCAAGTACCCAAACCATATGACGTGTAGAGGCCATCTCCATGACAAATACATCAGGTGGAAGAAGGATATATGAAAGCCAGTGGTATGAGTACCAGTAGTTTCACAAATATTGTACAAAACATCATAATTCAAAGACAACAACACAATTACAATCAAAAGACCAGTGGGCTTGCCATGCCCTTCTAATGTTGGTAAAGCAGGTGTAAAAGCATTTCCTGCCCCACATCAGTAGGGGCGTGTCACCCTGCCCCACATCAGCAGGGGCGTGTCACCCTGCCCCACATCAGCAGGGGCGTGTCATCCTGCACCACATCAGCAGGGGCGTGTCATCCTGCCCCACATCAGCAGGGGCGTGTCATCCTGCTGGATCAGCTGTTTCTAGTTTCCGCAGCATAATAAACATATATACACACATCAAACAAAGAGAAATAATGAAGAAGGCAAAATAAGAAGTTATGTACAACATAAACATTATGGAACAGACTTCTAAAATTGGGCACAAGTTTAACAGGACAGGAATAATATTTGGTAGGATTTATTGTCCAATATATTTTCAATAGTATATCATATTCACCAACTACACAAGCCACATGATAATGCTGCTTCATTCGGAGTCGCACTGATGAACTCGATAATCAGATTTCAAAATGTTTGGCCTCTTTGGTTCTTCTTACAAGGAAAATCATGTTATAGGTTTTATGTTGAATGTGATTTTCACGAAAGTTTTAGCAGATGACAAGTCTGGCCACAAGAGATTCATTAATATATCCTCTTTCACTGTTGTGAAATCTGTGAAACAGGTGACATCTTATTGTTTATGTTTGCTACTTAGATGAAATACACGCTAGTCCTACCAAACATCACTGTCATTAAAACAAGATCGCAGTTCTCACTACTTCGAGACTAAATAAGATCTGATCTTATTTCAATTGACAAAACATTCATGCGATATTTAATCTACACCATGTACATGGCTTGAACATTGTGTTTGAAATAAATATATTTTCTTTGCCTGTAGACACTTGGGAAAAAAATAGTAGTAACATGGGCAGGGATGGAAATCAAATAATTAACAGGTTATGGATAAGTCTTTTGTCAAAAATAAGTTGACTATACTTTTAAATCCTGTTCCTCCTTGTGGGAAACCTTATCACCAGAAAACTGCCTCAAACATGGCAATATAAATGGTAGGACACACCATTATAAAATATATATGCTAATGTGAATTAAACGACAGATATAAAACAATTTAAACATATATATGTTATATATTACGAACAACCTTCAAAAAGAAACCTAGGCAACTGACTCAAGAATTTGAACAGATTTAGAACATGGAAAACATCCCAATACAAAGTGAGCATTTAAATATTGTTTACATCTCTGTGTCAAATGCCTGAAAGCACCTGCTGTGGGGAAACTGGAACAGGTATGCTGACATAATGGACAGGTTGAAGTACTGCTTTACATCTTTGAGCTACTTTACACTGACAGGACTCCCACACAGACATACAACCACTACATATCCCACACGTTACACAGCTGACAACAGAGCAAGTGGACTACAACCTCTTACACCAAGCACCATTCATCTGTTTCAACATGGATATCGATTGTACGGATTACTTCAAGCAATTATACATCATTAATGGCATTTGGATTAGAATTACATACATTCCCCTGTAACCAAATCAGTTATATTTCACAGACCAATTAATTAACTGCATACCAAGAGTATTTGTCCCGCTGAAATTTGGAGGCAACAAAAACTCACTCCCATCAAGGAGACCCATTCAATGAATGGCTCCACATTAGACCAAGATCGAGTACATTCACCCACAGTTTAGCCAATCTGATTCAGACAAACATGCAACGCAATCAATATATAGACCATAATGGCTACAGTACAGAACAGCTGTTCAGTAATTCGGCATTACCTTTGGTCCCTGGTGATTGTATTTTGAGCGCATAAAATTCTACGAGGGCTCTTAAAATCTAACATGTATATATCACATGTTCAGAGAGCACTGTTGTATCAGGTACCTGCACATGTTCAGAGAGCACTGTTGTATCAGGTACCCTTTATTCCCATCATAAATACTACAACACCATAACCTATTTGTGTTTACAGATATCCATTATTATGACAGTGCATCCAATACAAGATTGGTACATGAACTATTAGATGGTACAATCAATACAAGATGGTACATCAACTATTAGATGGTACAATCAATACAAGATGGTACATCAACAATTAGATGGTACATCCAATACAAGATGGTACATCAACTATTAGATGGTACAATCAATACAAGATGGTACATCAACTATTAGATGGTACAATCAATACAAGATGGTACTTAAACTATTAGATGGTACACCTGTACGGACCCTGGACATCTGGATGTTAACCATTGTACTGGGCAGGTTTGCTGATCTCACTGAAAAACAATATCTTCAACACTTTGAAATACTTGTGTCATCTTAAAAAGCTATTCCTATGAGCATGTTACCATAGAGAGATGACAGTATATGAGGTTACAGGGTAGTCTGGGGAGACACCAACTGTACCACAGGCCATTCTGATGAAACTGACAAGCATGGTCAAAACTGCTGACAGTGCAGATGATCAGGGCAAGTTTTATAACACAGTGTATATGCCGTGTAAACAATAACAGACACTCAATAAATATTAAGTTGTAGTGACTGAATGCTGTTATTTGTCTTCCATCACTGACTGAAGTTTTGCCAAAGATCTACTTCAGAAGTGTGAACGTAAGCATCTAAGGATGTGGCTGTAATGCCCTATTGTCATGTACAACTTAACACATGGTAATAGATCTGCAGCTCAAACTAGCCTATCATTCTTACCCTGGCCAAGATTACCGACATTCAGTATGGTGTAATGTAATGCTTAAAGCCCTATTGCAAACTTGCTGCATAAATCCTCACTTCAGCCACGTCCCAAACCCCTGAAGAAGATGATTGACAAACTGGAAGTGTTATAGTATGTACAGTTGATGTCTTGCAAGGATTGGTGTAATTCACACTTAAAAGGTTAGATAACCCTCTACTCCATCTTGGAAATCTCAAAGTGGGTGTTCTGCAGCTCTTCATCCGAGTCCAGAAGGCTTGGTAAGGCTCTGCATATAGGAGAAATAGAGTGAGTACTATGCATCATAACTGCTTGTCTAGCTGAAAACGTGGCATTGTTGGTAAAATGTGGTATATGTAGTCTATGGGCTTTCCCCTTAAATCAGTATAACAGAGTCCTGAAACTTCTTTCTGAAGCAGTCCATGCAAAACTAAGTTATGTGTAATATGGACTTGTATGTATGTCAGACATGACAGTCATCAATAAGAGAAGAGCAGCTTTTAAGACACCAGTGGCTTCAGACTGGACAGATAAAAGTAAATGTATATTATTGAATACTGTTGTACTCATACTAGTTTGTTCTCTCTCCCTTACCCTAAGATACAGTGGAAACATTCTGTGTTATGTTCCCCAAGAAAAGTGAAAACATCTCAACCAAATGCGCACCACGTGGGGCACATCTCTTCCACGTGACCAGCCAGAGACTCATCAATCTTACCAGTTTCATAATTTCCAAATCGAAATAAAATATAGCAGTGGATAACAGTGGGTTGGTGGGGGGTGGAATACTTTAACTTCTGAGTCAGGATAATTATAAAATAATAATTTGTACTCTAAACAAATTCATATTTTTCCTTATCCTGACTCATACTATTTAATTGAAATCTGTTAGTAGGTGGTGGGGAGCCATCTAATTTTGAATTCATGTTCTGTTCATATAACCCCTTGGGAACTTCCAACCTTCTTGAATCTTGGAACAAAAGGAGTAAATCATAAATCCTTTCTTGGATTTGAAAGATTTGCATAGAAAATGATTCTTGCTTGTGTCAAGATGATCCATATGTTAAGAATAGGTCATAAACTGAACTAAATGAATAATCACTCATACTCTGAATTACAGGGGGCAGGGACACTCAGTTGTTGGTTAAGAGACAGTGAGTGAACTGACTTGCATCAATCTCATGATTCTGGGTTAGAATGTTCTTCTTGAAGGAGATGTCAATTGTTATGCAACAACCAAATGAGCAAATTGATGAATACCAGCAACATCTTCTGTAGGGAAATCTGGTCTTTAGTCCTTCTTTGGTCGATAGCCCTTCTTGAGAAGCTTTAAAATGAATGGCTCTCCTAGAATCTCTCTGTTTTCCTGTTAAGTCATCTGTCTTCCACCCATCGTTGATGGTTGTACTTGAATGGCTGGGGACAGAATGTCATTCAAAATCAGACCTTCAGCAGCAAAAAAAGACAACCTTTGGCTCTTCGCTTGACTTTTCCTGAGGTATGCGAAAATTGGACAACTAGGTCGGTAAGAATCACCTTCCTCAGGTTTCGAGATACCAAAGAAGCGACTCCTGAACTCGACTATATGTACATCGTTTGTACTAGTAGTCATGTGAAGCAGTACTACTGTTTATTGTCTATGTCACATAACTAGTGACGTCATGCATTATTGCCCTGTTCAGAGTCAGTGTTTGATCCTTGGAATCTTGAACTACTTCTTTCTTCACAAGACAAATGCAACCATCAAAACCTGCCATCCCCACCACGATTTATGTAGTAAAGGCTTTGTGTAGAGGCCTGACCACAGAGAATTAGAAATTAATTCTTGTCTTCGTAGCAACAGAAGCCCTGCAGAAGTTGTGATCTGATATGAAGTCTTGGTTCCTCTTCTGGGCAACGCCGAAAGAAACATTCTTTCATGGTCCAATTGAGGATTCTTAGTCTTAATCAATCTCTGATGCTTTGCTAAAAAGCCTTCAAGTTCAGGTCTTTGGGTTGAAAGATGGATATCAGAAAGATATTGGCAAACCATCAACAGTAGTACAGGGTCTTCATAAATGGAAAGATCAAGAATTTCCATTGAATGACGACAACAAACAGGTAATCTGCAAAATCGTTACGGAGGGGCACAGAAACTTCATAATTTTGATATGAAGGCTTGGATTAGAAAACACTGAAGTTTTCCCTAACCATCTCGTAGGGCTAAAATAGAGAGAGTGATGAGTACCCAGCTGGTCAAGTGGGAGGCTGATGCACATGCGCGGTAGACAGGTCCGTTTTGGTGAGATGTGTTTACTTTTTTCACTGTATCTCACATCCTCGTAATCTCCAGGGTATACATTCCGATAAATCTCCACTAGTACCCTGGATGCATCTATGGCTCGGCCCGATAATTATATTACCTCCCTTTGCTGGCTCCGCATTCTCACAGTAGCCAATCAGCTAAGCTGCCGTTACAACTGAGCTTTGGAAGGTTTGTTCGCAGTGCAACTCAGATTTGGGGGCAAAATCATACAGACAAATTGACAGGTCTGAAACCTTATAATATATATGCATGAACGCTTTCTACCCCTTTCAGAGTACCTCTGCAACAATTGTGTTGCCAAGTTCAATCTGTTAGAAAAGCAAAAAGCAAAAGTGAGTTGTGATTGGTACGCTCAACGTAGACACCTGATTGGATAAAAAGCCAGCCAAGGGAGGTAATAAAATCATGGGTCAGAGCCGTGAATGCATACAGGGTATAGTGGAGATTTATCGGAACGTATACCCTGGAGATTATCGAGGATGTGTATCTCAGGGCTAAAGGAGAAACAAGCAAATAGTATGGGTCAGGAAATGGTAAAGTTAACTAAATTTACAGGGAATGTGATGGTCGAAAACCAACAGCACATACCACAAACAGCTGAATGACAGATAGAAAGAATAATTCATGCAGTACACTGGTCATTTCAGAGAAGAAAGAAAACAACTCTGTCATGCGTCTTTTACTGGTGTTTTACAGGAGAAAGGCAACATTGTATTACGGCTGAGGACACTGTTGGGTTTAAGTGAATTTGTCTACCATTGCTGATATTTGAGGACAGGTACTTACTTGTCAGACAGTGATGATGGGATGTTTTCCTCAACCCATCTTAGGTCATCATCCTGCAACAGTAGCCACAGAGTGAGTGAGTGAGTGCCTATATATGGTTGTGAGGATTCGGATTGTTTGTCAAATTTTATGCACCTTTACAAGAAATAAGTACTTTATCAACGATCAACTTTTATCAGATTCGTTTATGGCATCTTGCATTTCTTGAAAACCTACTGACACTTGGAAGTGGTGTTAATAGCCTGTGCACGCCATAGCGTTGTGTGTATAGACATTTATCGGTGTGCATGGCTGGGCTATAGACAGTGGCAGTTTATAATAATGATTTATATCAACTCAATTAACATGAGGATTTGAGTGTCGTGTGTGTTGTCATTGGGTCGCTTCACACCCAGGGGCCATGTGGACAGTATGCCAGAACAGAAACACTGGCGTTTATGAATGAGTGAGTGTTACACCTTTCAGCAATATTTCAGCCACAGCATGTTAGTACACAAGAGTGAGAGGCTGAAACAATTTAATGCAACTTTCCACACTATATTCCACTCATAGCATGATAGTGCTCTTTGAGTGAGTGAGTGACACAGATTACGTCATCTTCAGCAATATTTCAGTCAAAGCACAGTCATCTGTGATAGACATAATGGATACTGACCACTGATTTGGACCTGGTGTCCTTCTGCTTGGGGGATCCATTCGAATAGGTCTTGGACCTCATCTTCATTCCGTCTAAAACAAACAGTTATGTACACATCAAACGCCATATGTTCACAAGATGGACATAAGCTCTTCATCCATTGGTATACTGCAATGTGACTGATGGTTTCTATTTCTGTATGTACTACATGTATACTAGTCAGTCATGACAGTCTGTGATTGGAAAATGTAAGATGACTCACCGAAAGCATCATTCATAACAGTGTCATCGTCTACTTCATCCTCAGCAGCGTCCAACAGTGGGGAGAAGGCATACCTGGTTGAATAATAAAACACATTACTCAGACCAACCAGGTGACCCCACAATCATAGCATCCTGGCTTGTAGAAGGGAGAAAACTATGCATACAAAAGTGTATGACAATAGAGTTCCTACTCATTTGAAAACAAGCACAGAAGAAAACTGAACCAATCACTTCAAGTAACTGTTAAGAAGAAACAATAGAGCTACATGAGCCACGTACCTCTGGTTGTTGGCTGTGGGCCTCCACAGGATCATAATGATCAGAAGCAGCACAGAAAAGAGCAGGTGCCAGAATGCCTCGTCCACCCACAGCTCACGCCAGTCCTACAACATTGTCAGATAATCATCACCCCGTTCACCTCTTCTTCCCAGCTTGTGGGTGATAACATGAATCAACTTAACTCATAAAAACACATGTGGGATAATTTCAAATGGTATGAATTCTATATTAAGAGCTCAGTTCTCTAAGTATTTACATTTGTTTGTTATCTAATGGCACAATCAGCAATATTTGAGCTATATGAGGTGGTCTGAAAATAGTCTGAAAGTCTTGACCATACAATCTAGTGGTTGACAGCATCAGCATCGCAATTAGGAAAACGATGAAACATTGCATCAACCAAGTCGACCAGCCTGACCATGCGAACCTGTACAGTCGCCTCTTAAGACAACCATGATCATCATTCTTCACAGTTGTGAGCATCGATTATCATTCTCAGTCCTAACTTTGATCTCTGGTATATTCTTCCTCATTGTGATAACGGATTATCATTTGTCAATCCTAACTGGTCATACTAACATCATTTGTCATTAATGTGATCATCAAACAGAAACAATTAATGTTAACACATTTGCATCGATCACCACTGCTCCAGACCACAGTTGCCATAGTAACAAGAGACCTGGACTCACCGTGATGCAAGCCTTCATCTTGTGCTGTGTGATGGACCAGATCATGTAGGCAATAGAGGCTGCAAACACAAAAATAATGTCTCTATAGGTAACCAGGGAAACAAGATATTCTGTCCACTTTACTGGAGTAAAGATTTCAGCCAGCTTTTCATCTTTGTGTATCTGTACCTAATACAGCATGTATGATATTGTTTGTGAAGTGGCTATAGAGTGCGTACAATAGGAACTCTTACCTAGCACAGCGAATATGAGGGTGTTTGTGAAGTGTCTGTAGAGAGAGAGTTTCACAATGTTCCGCCTCAGTCTCAGCGTCCTAGTTGTCTGGACAAGACTGGAGAAAATGTATGTGTCGTCAAGGAAACCAAGATAGCTGAGAAGACATGACAAGAGTGAACCAAAGTTCTGGGAAAGCTGCAGATGCAGGGTACAATGCTCAGTCCTGTACATGTCAGAAATAACAAACATACCCCAGGGGTGTCCTGCACGAGAAACGAGCTTCCACACATCACAAAGTTTATAACCGTGCTGAAATAAATCTTACCACCACACAGTCATCCACACCATCACAATAGAACTGTACGATAATCTCAGGTTAGAAACCAACTGATCAGTTGTAAAACAGTCGTGTGTATGCTGTAATCATAACCTACTACTAGCTTGGCAGTTTGAGAACAAACCATCCTTCACAACACACATAGTGAAACCATGATAAGCAACAATACTGTGGACCTTGGACAACTAATGAAACTCCCAGGCATGTGAGACAACAGGCTGTCAGTATGTGATAACAGGGTTCCATTAACACCATTCTTTCTTGTCTGCATTCAATTCTGAGCACATGGAATTAGTTTAATTCAGCTGGTAAAGGATATCCACCAACAGATGACCGCATCTAACACAGCTAGTGGTACAGCTGCCAGCATCAACTCATTGGACTGGTCGCTCTTAGCCTGCAAGTACAATCAGCATAGCATCAGGTTACAATCAGCATAACATCAGCTTACAATTAGCATAACATCAGCTTACAATTAGCATAACATCAGCTTACAATTAGCATAACATCAGCTTACAATTAGCATAACATCAGCTTACAATTAGCATAACATCAGCTTACAATTAGCATAACATCAGCTTACAATTAGCATAACTTCAGCTTACAATTAGCATAACATCAGCTTACAATTAGCATAACATCAGCTTACAATTAGCATAACTTCAGCTTCCCCCTGTACTGTAATGTTTCATTTCATACCCCAGATTGGTATGTCATCGACTTACAATTAACATATCATGAGCCTTCCATCAACCCATCGTCAATATACCATGAGCAGTTCCGCAAACCCTGATACTAGCATACATCAACAAGGGAGGCCTACCTTCAGAGCTCTCATGCATCCTTCGATGGAGCCCAGGGTGAAGTACATGACGCCCACACACAATACCTTGTGGAAAGTCTCCCCCAGGCGTGGTCTGCAGCAGCAACAAATATAGACACATAGTTCTTTTTTGATACAATTAATCTTTACTTCTTTAAATGTATCCAAGTAACTCCTACTGAATGACAGGGGTGGTTGAGTGTGTTGGTGAGTTAGGGATGAGTGGGTTGACAACCTATTAAGTGAGCAAACTGGTGGATGTCAGGATCAGGGAGGAAAAACATTAGTCAGATAGGTTTTATAATGGATGAGTCACAAAACTAAATTGTTTAATATATTAGTTTGTTGTTTAATGCTACACTCAGCAATATTCCAGCTATATGGCGGGGGTCTGTAAATAATCAAGTCTGCACCAGACAATCCAGTGATCAACATCATGAGCATCATTCTACACGATTGGAATATGATGACATGTGTCAACCAAGTCAGCGAGCCTGACCAACCGATCCCGTTAGTCGTCTCTTACGACAATGGGTTATTGAAGACCAATTCTAACCCAGATTTTCATGGGTCAAACTAACTTGTACTGAAGATACAAACATCCAAATCTGTTATAGAATGATAACAATAAGCCCTGATAAGATTTATGTGAACTCTCTGACTCACTTGACAATGCCAAAACCAAGGCTGACGACGATAACCAACATCCTGGCCAGTGCTCTCTTCATGGACGACACAAGCTCAGCAACAATGACAGCTCCAGTAACTGAACAAGTGAAAGAAACACAACTTGAACATGAATTATTTGCAAGGGGAGACACTCTGGCTTATGTGTGGTGGGGAGACTCTCTGGCTTGTGTGTGGTGGGGAAATACTCTGGCTTGTGTGTGGTGGGGAGACGCTCGGGCTTATGTGTGGTGGGGAGACAGGGAGACAGTCTGGCTTATGTGTGGTGGGGAAATACTCTGGCTTATGTGTGGTGGGGAAATACTCTGGCTTATGTGTGGTGGGGAGACACTTAGGCTTATGTGTGGTGGGGAGACACTCGGGCTTATGTGTGGTGGGGAGACAGGGAGACAGTCTTGCTTATGTGTGGTGGAGAGACAGGGAGGCAGTCTGGCTTATGTGTGGTGGGGAGACAGGGAAACTGCCTGGCTTGTGGGGGTATGGGAAACACTCTGGCTTGTGTGTGGTGGGGAGACAGGAAGACAGTCTGGCTTATGTGTGGTGGGAAGAAAGGGAGACAGTCTGGCTTGAGTGTGGTGGGGAGACAGTCTGGCTTGAGTGTGATGTGGAGACAGTCTGGCTTGTGTGTGGTGGGGAGACATCCTGGCTTGTGTGTGGTGGGGAGACAGCCTGGCTTGTGGGGGTTGGGGAGACAGCCTGGCTTGTGGGGGGTGGAGGCAGACAGTCTGGCTTGAGTGTAATGGGAAGACATTCTGGCTTGTGTGTGGTTGGGAGACAGCCTGGCTTGTGGGGGTTGGGGAGACAGCCTGGCTTGAGTGTGGTGGGGAAACAGCCTGTCTTGTGTGTGGTGGGGAGACAGTGGCTTGTGTGTTGTGGGGAGACAGTCTGGATTGTGTGTGATGGGGAAACAGTGGATTGTGGGGAATCAGTCTGGCTTGTCTGGCTTGTGTGTGTGGTGGGGAGACAGCCTGGCTTGTGTGTGGTGGGGAGACAGCCTGGCTTGTGTGGGTGGGGAGACAGCCTGGCTTGGGAGACAGCCTGGCTTGACAGCCTGGGGAGTCTTGTGTGTGGTGGGGAGACAGCCTGGCTTGTGTGTGGTGGGGAGACACTGGCTGCTTGTGTGGTGGGGAGACAGTCTGGCTTAGTGTGTGGGGAGACAGTGGTGTGGTGGGGAGACAGTCTGGCTTGTCTGGTGTGTGTGAGTGTGGTGGGGAGACAGCCTGGCTTGTGTGTGGTGGGGAGACAGCCTGGCTTATGTGTGGTGGGGAGACATTCTGGCTTGAGTGTGGTGGGGAGACAGTCTGGATTGTGTGTGATGGGGAGACAGTCTGGCTTGTGTGTGATGGGGAGACCGTCTGGATTGTGAGTGGTGGGGGGACAGTCTGGATTATGTGTGATGGGGAGACAGTCTGGATTGTGTGTAGTGGGGAGACATGGAGACAGCCTGGCTTTGTGGTTTACCATGTATGGGGGGTTGCGTGTCTTGTGAGGGAAAACAGCCAACATACTTTGTGGAGAAAGTCTCTGCGTATGAGCGTAGATAGTATACCATGCATTCAATGCAATATTATTAAACCAGAATGCCACGTCCACTATTTTGGTCCTGTTGTCAGAGAAATACAAAGTCATAACAACAGTCCAAGCTTTAAATTACAACCTGAAGTGGGAAATGTATATTCCATTCCATTTATTTGCTGTAGACTTGGGAATGAGTATTTACATTGAAGCAGGTCGAGATGTATGCCATGGATGACATTCCCCCTGACAAAGCCCTACCCACCTGACAGCCCACTCTTGGCTATGCTCTCATACTCTGCGAAGAAGACAGCTTTCTCCAACATGCCTGCAAGCAAGAGAACACCCAGATAACAGTACCCAAAACAACACAGACATAGAAGGTCACCATTAACGGTTCCACCGAGAGGTAAAAGTCAGGAAGTGTCACACGAGTGACTGCGATCTAACGACACAGTCAGCAATACAGCTGTATCATAGTGCACCAGATAACTGCTGATACTATGATAGCATCCCCTATGGAGTACAATGAGGGACAAGCTGGTCATCAAGCCAGATCAGGCAATCCAACTGAATTGCCTCTTACTACAAGCAACATATTGCAGGTTGTAAAACTACAAACAAATAAATGGTCCTGACTAACTATCCAATGGATCAGTAGACCCTGGCAGCAAGATGACACAACTTGCAGACAAAGTGTCCTTAGAGCACTAACGTCCATACATTTGTCCCATCTGGGAATTACACCCCTGTGACCTGTAAATGCTAAACCTTTCATCCGCCTAATATTTCCATGCTCTATGTCAGGCATTCTCAAGTACCTACCTAAAACAATGACACCCTCGATCCAGAACTGTACCCGAAGCAGATCGAGCCAATTGCAGGCGAGCAGCCCCAGCCAGACAAGGCCATACACAATGTACACAAGGCCCATGATGCCGTAGAACTACAACACAACAGGGATTGGTTAACACATCTCAATGTGTCCTGCCATGAAGGCAGCTTTCACAATTTCTTCAAAGTAACTGCCTTAAATAGCATTCAATATTAATTCAGTCTTCCTTAGGGTACATATGCACATTTTCTTAAATAAATGTCCTGTGACAGTTGAAACAATGTTTAAATGAAAATATTGTACAATATAAAAACTCATTTTCATCTGTTTTACACATCCCCAACCGAGTAGCCAGGAGTACTTTCACAAATCACCATTCCTTCTTTTGACAATTAAAATCAGAGATTCCCTTCGAAGGAGTGTGAACCCCTTCAGGTTTGGCTAATTGTTTTTCTGAAGGTCTTCCTTGGGGTATAGATGCATTAATACAGACACCCAAAGACACAAGGTCTGAGGATGAGTGAAATTCTGTAAACGTATAAGAACAAAAAACAAGAAGTAAGAATATAAGATGTGTTGATAATTATATAATGCTCAATAGGAGTCCTTACATGGAAAGTGTGATCAATCTTAGAGTAGTAGTTAGAGGCAAATATTGACACAATCAGCGTGAAATACCATCAGTGCCGGATCGACAGACATTGCATGACTGTCCCGATCCATCTGCCAGAAGCTACTGCTTCTTCTGTCAACAACTGAAGTGAGTGAGTGAGTGAGTGAAACATGTTCTTTATATATTCCATATGATGAGTATGAGTTTAGTTTTACGCCGCACTCAGCAATTTCCCAGCTATATGGCGGCAGTCTGTAAATAATCAAGTCTGGGGCAGACAATCCAGGGATCAACAGCATGAACATCAATCTACGCAATTGGGATACAATGACATGTGTCAACCAAGTCAGCAGTCCTGACAACCCGATCCCGTTAGTCGCCTCTTACGACAAGCATGGATTACTGAAAATCAATTCTAACCCAAATCTTCACGGGTCATTTGATGACAGAAGCATATAAGAATGTTTTGCTAAAAGTAACGGTTTATCCCTAATCTCTAAGTTATGAGCAAATCTATCAAGTTGAAAAGCTTTAAACAGATTTATCTTTCATCCAATGACAGTATCCTGAGTAGAGTAACATTTTAGCCTCATCAGAATACACATATATATACTTACAATTTCCAGCGGGTACTCGACTGCCGAGATGTAGCCATGAGGACCAGGCATTCGTACAGTCACTGTCAGTGAATAAAAGCAGTGCTTCAGAAATACTATCAAATTTTCATTCATTTCGAAAACTATAATCATAAAAAACAAAATTAAGTGGGTCCAAGGGTCATTGAGTTCTACTTGAATGAATTTCATCTGTGGAATCCCTAAACTTTTAACACAGGTTTTGACAAGGATCCCTTGACTTCCATGCTTAATTACAAGCAATGCACACATATAATGATACAGTGGTTAAGGGAGAGCCCAAATATCTACCTTCAGCTTTGAAATCCTTGGAAGCATTAATGGGAAGGGGTCGCAGCTGCAGCACAAAGACATAGTAGCCATCTTTCCACAACTGCGTAAACACATGGTGGTCAATCTATAACACAAAAAACATAAACATGCTGAAGGATTTATGGTTCCCCCACATATACAAAGATAACCTCATCATTTTCATAATTACAAACACTAAACACTTGAGACAACAAATCCTGAAATATCACAAAATGTAATTTTCTGACTAAAATTTATATTTTATACTTATCCTGACTCATGCTAAATGCTTGCTAAATACTTGTCTCCTTCTTCTTGCGAATGATAGTGGAACACTTGAAATCCCTTGAAGTTCCCTTCTAATAAGCGGACGTAAAATCATCACTCACCCACGAGTAGTCTCCCTTGCCTCCTTTGGCGCCCTTTTTTGGTCACATGACCAGCTATGTGTGTCACTATCGCCGTTTGTACACCCGACACCCGGATTTACAGGGAAATCCAGAGTGCCCTGAGAGGGGAGGTTGGGAGGGCTGACCTCATGAGTCAGGATAAGTATAAAATATCAATTTTAGTCAGAAAATAACATATTATTCCTTATCCTGACTCATGCTAAATGCTTGTAGAATCCGTCAGAATCGGTGGTGGGTCAGGCCACTTCCTGGATTCACTGGCTGCTATTTTACGTCCTGTATTACCCCCCATGGGAACTTATGACGGCACTGCTGATGATTCTGTTCTTCCAACTTCCATCTGATGAGTCGGGAACCACAACTTGTCAGATTTCTTCCGAAACTTCTGACATTTTCGTGTGGATTTTACATATACTAATGTTCCATTAGTTATCTATTGCAACTCCATCTCTTGATGTGTGCATCAAGTGCAGATGCGACCCTTCTTCATGTGCGAGTAAGTCCTATACAAGTACAGGGTCTATCACTCATGCTAGTCTGTCCTAGACTGTGTGCATGGACTTTAACCATTTGCTCTCCAGAGCGTTTTCACAAGTCACATGATAAAAGAGTGAGATTTTTCTCAGCTCCTTTGTGGAACCGTTAGTTGTTGTGCTACAAGTGGCCCAACTGGTGAATGCCTGAGACGTCTTCGGTGGCAATGTCTCTGAGGTAGTGGTTGGCAAACACTGTGTCCGATTTCCAAAAGCAGCCCTCCATTATTGTTGTAATCAAGCAGTTTCCATGCAGAGCAAGTGTAGACGCCAAGGCTCTGACTTCGTGGGGATTGGAGGCTCGTGGAGGCTCAAGTCCTGCTGCTTTGTAGGCCCTTAGTATGACAGCTCTCATCCAAACTGATATAGTTTTCCTTGAGACTTCCGTGGGCGTCTCAGTAGATAAGGGGATGAATAGGCGCTTGAATTTTCGTCTCCTTATTTTTGTCCTTTGTAGGTAGACTTTCAATGCTCTGACAGGGCATAAGGATAAATCCTGTGTATCCTGTGGCCCAAGGACTGTAGAAAGTGATGGGATGTGGAACTGTCTGTCAGGCTGGCCCGGGCAGTTGGTTCCTGGCAATAAAGTCCCATCCCAGCATGTATTTCTGACATCCATGCTGCTGTTGCTAGGGCGATCATAAACAGCGTTTTCTGTGTCAGTAGTTCAAAGAATGTTCGTTCTAGAGGCTCGTAGGTATCACTGGTGAGATGTTGTAGAACTACGTTGAGATCCCAGGCAGGAGCCTTGAATTTCTTTTGTTGGTCTTCCAACTTGAACGAGCGTAGTAGTGCCAGTATCTCTGGTTCTTTGGTCAACTTGACACCCGTCTTCATGGTGATAACTGTGCTGAGAGCAGCCAGGTACATTGAGAGTGTTGAACCTTTTAAGTGTCCCGTCTGTTGCAAACGACACAAGTATTCCGCCACTTGAGGATGGGTTGCTTTCACCGCCGTAAAGCCTTTCCTCGTTGCATACTGTTCAAATCTCTGCCACTTGTCGCGAGTTGATCTGTGTAGAGCTAGTGTTACTGCTTTCGCTGCTCTACCCTCTTGTCTTCAGGCAAGCTTTGATACGCTGCACGCGTGTAGCTGGAACAATGCTGGATACCTGTGAGCTTGCTTGGTGTGTGGATGGACGAGCAGGTTCGACCACTCTGGCAGTTTCAGGGTTGGACTTCCAAGTTCTTGTATGAGGACTGGAAACCATACCCTTGCTGGCCAATAGGGCGCAACCAAAATCAGTTGCAACGTTGTAAGCGTTTAGTCCTTCCCATGAGATGCTTAAAGTATCTGTTACCCATGCCTGAGGATCCGGAATCGGTGAGACGAATGTTGGTAGTTGTTGTTGAACTTTGCTGCAAACAGGTCTATCAGTGGAGATCCTATTGTCTGTATGACGAACCGGAACACTTCTGGATGTAACATCCACTCCACCGGAATGGTTGTAGGGGATGGTTGTAGTGGACGAGATAGGGCCTCTGCTATGACATTCTTTGCTCCTGGAATGTGGCATGCCTTCATGTAGATGTTCAGGTCGCTTTAACCATTAAGGCTACCCCCGCCCCCTTCGATGTTCAGGTCGTCAACGATGACCAGGAGAAAGCTGAGTTTTAGCAGACATGTTGATCCTTTTTTGTTGATGTAGAACGCTACTGTGGAGTTGTCCGTGTGGACCGTGAGCCTTGTGTCCCTTAGTATGCTGGACCAGTGTTGTAAAGCGTTGATCACTGCTTTCATCTCCAACAGGTTGATGAGCAGACTCTGATCCTGACTCGACCACTTCCCTGCTGCCACTTCATTGTCGAGGTGAGCACCCCATCCTTGTTGTGATGCATCCACGTAGAGATGAGTGTTGCAAACCGGCTCTGACAAAAAAGTTCCTCCGCAAACATTCGGCTTCTGAGTCCACCATAGGAGGTATGGTTTCAGGCTGTCCGGTAGTATCAGCGGATCCAGACTGTCGAGATGGGCGTTCACAAATATTTGTAGTGGGCGCAGCTGTAATCTCCCTCTGCGAGTCATGTCTTGAGCTGAGGTGAGTAGACCGAGCATGCTTTGCCAAGCACGTAGTGTCAATGGAAAGAGCATTGCTTGAGATATCATATGTTGTATCTTGACCCAACGATCCTCTGGGAAGACCGTGTGATTCTGTGGTGTGATGAGCCATATTCCCAGAAATTCAAGATCCTGTTTTGGTTCCAACTCCGATTTGGAGATTACCAGCCATCTACTGCGATCATGTCCTACGGTAAGTGGATTTAGGAACCCTTGCCATGTCCGTCATGGAAGCGGAGAGATGATCGATTCTGGAATCATGGCTTGAAGCTTGTCTCATCAATCTTCCGGTAATATGTAATGAAGATGCTGTCACCAGAATCCGAACAATGTGCAGCGATGATGCATAATACGTCGTCTCTAGATCAGCAAAAATCTATGATGTACTGGGACTGCCATCAATGTGAAGTCTATTTACAGTCGACTGGCTGCCACGAGCAGAAACCGTCTAACGCTTGTCGCTGCAAGTCCCCAGATAACCATTATTAAATCTGCTGACAGGATGACCCGTGACGATAGTTGAACCATGCTGTACCCTGCTAATTGGACTGTAAATGGAGCCTTTTCCACGTTGAAAGAGTTGTTTACAACTGTAGACGACTTCCTGGCACGTGACTATGACCGGTTCTGCGCAGGGCGTTGTCTCTCATGGACCAATCAGATTTCAGATGTGACGTCACCGGTGTTGCAGGTAAATGATCCTCATAGAATCTTGTGCAGAAGTCGTTGATTTCTTCGTCAACACTCGGCCTTGACCGTAACCTCTCTGCCCGGCTTGTGCCAGAGTTACACGAGTGAACATGTGTATAGATGGCTGAGTGGATGCGCGCAAAAACCTCACCGCGTAGTACCGATGTTAGCAGACTGTTCCCTGTCTGTTGTGACTATATTCCTCAACTTTATAATCTTTACTGCAGTCATCATCTTATACAGGTGTTCTGTAAAGTTGACCGTAACCGATGTCTCGCTGAGGAACTGCGAAAATGCTGTTAACTGTCCCCTTGATATCTTGTACGCCAATGTGATGAAAATTCATCTTCAGTGTTTCATCGGATGTTATCGGACATCGTTAGTTCAGGTGTGCGTCTCTTCCTTCAGCCATGCGTTGATCAAACATAGCCAACATCTAGTTATAGTGTCCAGTTGCGTTATCTTCTGATCTTTCATCTTGAAAATCTATTACGGGATTCACTGATGATCTTGTAATCTCAACACCTGATGTATCATGATGGGTTCCATATGATGAAGGGGGAACTCTGCTATCATTGAACGGCGGGACATGCCGACTCTGATTGTAATCCTCCCCGTGAGTGCCTGCGCGCAGGTTGATGAAGGTCCAAGTTGGAAGATCCGTATCTGCGCAGTCTGTAGAATCCTGGAGAACGACTGGATCTACTTCTGTGTTAGAATCCTTCCTGCTGAGACGCTGAAACTGCGTGGAGGCTCCATCGTGGACTGCTAACGCTAAGCTGGCATTCGTTGAATCCTCCAGGCTTCTAACTGCAGGGTTAGAAATCTCTTTGAAAAGTCTACTAGCCATGAGGACTAGTGACTCTCACCAAACTACTAGTCCTCACACAATTTTGGTAGTCCTCAAATTTCAATCTTTAATAAACCCAATAATTAATTTGACTTAGTCAAGCAGTATTGGCAGAGGTATGGTATCATAACAAACAAACACACAATATGTTTAGGCATGGTATAATTCAGTCATGACAGATGGATATGATCATATTATTCAAATAACACAACTACAACGTAAATAAGTTAATATTTAATGAAAATGCAAGCTTATACATTTATAATGTCCAGATAAACCACGAAGGAAGCAAACAATGCAGCAATGTTTTCCATTTGTAACATGTCATAATTATCCCCTTACGTTTTTCTTTTCTATTTTTCATGTTTACGCAATCGGAAAACTATTATAAAGATATTTCTCAAATAATATGTATGGTCGTCTATTTCCCGATAAAATTGGCTTTCCGTTAGCATTGATACAACAGTGAGAAATACCTCCGTTTTGAAGCTTCAGATAAAAACATGTGGCGATTCGTTTGATGGCGGGTATCGTTCGAAAGCTCTGAACATCAACTATATCACTA